GAGCCATATTTTGAGCTTGAACCTTGTGCAAACCCTTCTTGGAAAAAAAATCATTGCAATTAAGACTAAAAGTGTTGCAAAGTTCGAAAGATATTGGCCAATATGGTTGTAACCAACACAAAGGCATGAAGACTCATGTTGTTACCTTGGTTACATGTCTACTTTACTTTGTCTACATGTATTCATTGTTTCTATACCTACTGCCAGGAGTTAGGAAAACAATATCTTTGCAAACATTGCTGTGTACTAAACATTGTAGATGGCTTCAAAGTGAGGGCACATCATCCAGCAAGATGCTAATTTGAGGACTGAGCAGTTGAAACACAGCTGTTTTCACTCCCATCATATGGTCTCAATTTGAGAGCTGAAAACTATTTAGTAAGTTTGAGTCCAGCAGTGGCTCAAAAGGTCAATGTAATATACAAAATATTACTTGTTGACAGCAAATTTCACTTTGAAGAAAATAACTTTTCAGTGTGTTAGCAGTTAAAGTAATTACTACAGCTCTAAAGATATTTACACACTGAAACATGACAATAGTTTGTATCGTGATCTTCCGGATACCAGACAATACTGGAGTTGGATTATGTTCCTAATTTACTAACAGTAAATTAACTCTTGTTCTGGGCTCCATTGGGATTTTATTTCATATTTTGTAGAGAAATTTCAAATTGGGAATGAGTGAGTGAGTGAGTATGGTTTTACGCTGCTTTTAGCAATATTCCAGCAATATCACGGCGGGGGACACCAGAAATGGGCTTCACACATTGTACCCATGTGGGGAATTGAACCCGGGTCTTCAATGTGACAAGCAAACGCTTTAACCACTAGGCTACCCCACCGCCCCAAAATTGGGAATGAATAAGCAATAAACAATCAATAATATTGATAATTGGAAGAGTGCTTCATACACAAAGCGGTATATTACATCAGTCATATTATATTCTTGTAAACAGAGAAATTGTTAAATTAAATATTATGAACTGTTTTGGATGATAAACCTACAAGAAAGGTTGAAGAGCAAATGTGAAAAACAATCACCACTAACACAGTAACAGGGTCAGAGAGAGCTGCCTTTGTAATACATACAGAACACTTGGTGACAACCTGATGATCTTCACCTCAATTTATACCTATTTATACCTCCTTACAATTATCACAAACGAGCACTGATGTTGCTCATGCTATCAATCACAGGATTGTCTGGTTCAGATTTAGCAATCTACATGCCTCCAACATATTGCTGGAACACTGAGTGCAGAGAAACCACAATAAATAAATTTCAACATAAATATATGCCAACTGCTTGCATATGGATCAGAACTATTCAGCTGCATTCAATGAATCGATGTTTATTACTGTGCTCAGCAATCTTCCAGCTATATCACTGTGGCTTGTAAATAATCTGGCCAACTAGTGACAGAAAACACGAGCAATAATCATATCTAAAGAATCATCAACATATTCAAGTCCTTGAGCCACCTAATCCAAACTAGAAACCTCTTACAACCAATGGCTGGTTAACTGTGTTTAATGACGAATGCATGTTTTGCACGATACTATATAAAATTATAATCTCAAGAATTTCTCTAGCACAGGTATTGCAGCCTAAGAAAATATAAATTTTCAGTTGTTTTTTTACATGCTTTTGCCCTGCTGTTGCCATGCTGTTGCCATGCTGTTGCCCTGCTGTTGCCATGCTGACTCGCCACAGCAAAGAATGTAGTCCGACTCTCTGCAGGTCAGCTGAGATCATGGACTGCATATACTGACTAAATGGAATTAAATGTCTTCTATTACAATGGCGAAGATTAATCATATCTTATGTGCATATTTACAAAACAGTGAGGAAAAATATAACAACAGATTTTCCTCACATTTGCATTTAATATATTTAACAAATACATATGAAACAGCGACAATCGGAATCAAACTGCATAATTTATGAAAAAGTTGAACAAAAGCAGAAAACACAAACAGCCTTCCAAACCACAGCCTCAAGAGACGCAACTTCATAATAGAATTTTAATGCTACCATCTTTGTATTCTTTTCCAATGTCTAATTTAGATTTTGAGTGAGTGAGTTGTATTTTACATTGCTTTAAACAGTGTTTTGGTTATATCACATTTAAACCTTGAGTTAAGGATAGGCCAAAGTGCGACAGATCTTACTAACTTGATCACATCCAAATGCACCAGCTTGGTGGTTACAAACCCAAAACCCCAAACAAGAAAAATATCAAAATGGGATTTGAAATTTGAAATAATGATAACAGGAATCAGTCAGGATAAGGAGGCAACTCTGTACAGTGATATGTGAAAATGGCAGGGTCAGAAATATGAAACATATTAAGGAAGTAGGACAATATATATTTTTCTCTTGCAAAATCTATACAAGGTTCTTTTCTAGAAGGATATAGTTTTTGTATACAATAAAAGTTTAAAGGCCTCAGTTATGACCAAATCTGGGAGGGTGGATGGGTAGCCTTCGCTTGTAATGCCGAACACCCAGGTTAGTATCACATTGATACAATGTGTGAAGCCCCTTTCTGGTGTCCCTGGCCGTGATATTGCTGGAATATTGCCAAAAGCAATGTAAAACCCGACTCAATCCCCCAAATGTGGGAACAGCAGAAGCACCCCAACTGAATGATGAGTGCAATGCTGAAAGGTAAAGGAAACCATAGGACCGGTCAAAATGACTCAAAGATGCTTTTAAAGATTTTCCAGAACATATCACTATAAGGTCCCACACGTAAACACGCTCCTATGTAAAGATATTGTGTGGCAAAATGCAACACCACACTTGACAGCACTAGCAGGTATGGAAGGAAGTGGAGTGGGTGTAACAATATGTCTAAAGTGCTAACACCCCAAATAACAACAGGTCCATCCTATAGCCCTCAAACCTCAACCCTATGAAACTAACTTTGTTCATATATCAAGCTCATTATCTGGGTATATTTAGACACACAACCACAACTCTGATGTCCCTTAATCATCTGATTTCTACTGTTCAAGCATAATGGTCTACACAATGACAGGAAAGTCTATCATGTATATATACACAATGGTGGACGATGATGTCTGGGTGTTAACTAGGTTCACAACTGGTGCCAACATTTAGGCCATGATAAAGTACATATTGACCACTGTCATATTTTTCCCTGTTTGAACCATTTCTGTAAACAATCTTGTTTCCACTGCAATCAATGCTATCTTATTTGAACTGGAACTAGTTTTGACATCACTAGTCCATAACATGAGAGTTATATTTCCTCGCCTCAATTTTGCCTTATTGATCACTTCATTCACCTTAAAACACCATAGAAATTCACTGGAATTCACTGCCTGAATACATAACTTATGCTGATACGCAGTACTCGCCTGCACTCAGAGAATGCATAATTTAGGTTGAAATTCAGTACTTGAATGCACGACCTGAATGCATACGTTTTCATGATGATACTAAGTATTTGAATGCACTACAATGAATGCATAACTTCTCATATTCATCCTCAATACGTGCAGACACTACCTGAATGCATAACTTATCTTGATACTCAGTAGTTAAATGCACTACATGAATGCATACATTTTCATGTTATTACTCAATAATTGAATGCAGTACATAAATGCATAATGTTCGTTGATAGTACTTGAATGCACCCCCTGAATGCATAATTTCTGTTGCCAACACCCAGACACCATATGTCTTGACAGATCCAGGCTGCACAGCTCTCAGCATCCACAACCTTGCTATCATCACTAACATGACCAGATACAGCAGATTAACACACAGCAATACAATTCATGAATCACATGTACATGATGTAACAGAGCAGTAGGGAGATGGGAGGTAAACTACAGTTACAGTGAAAATAAACATGGCAGATTTACCTCTAGTTAACCAAGTTACAATCTAGAACCTAGATTTTGTCTCATTTATACCAGGAATGCAAGTATTTAAGCCCCTAAATATTTACAACTTCTGGGTTTAAAAACAAGATTTTATTGCCAATGAGATTAAATCAACAAACTCACAATGGGTGCTGTGAGGAGCTTCTTTATTCATAACACATGCTGGTCTCTTCAATCTTATTTCATGCTTTGGTATTTAAGTGGTCCATAATTGTTTAATTGTACTTCTAAATTTGAAAAAAGTTGATTCACAAAAATGAACTAAATGGAGTGTTAAGATGTGTTTGTATATGTCCCATGTTTAAACCCATGAAATATTAGGTCCTAGATGATTTTAAAACCTGTCATTAAGCCCAGGGCTTAAATATGTGCATTCCTCACTTTCTGTGTTCCCTTAAAGACATATCATTGACTAGCTTGCTTGACAAAACCAACACGATTATACACCAACTGTTTACAAAATCTGTTTAGTACTGGTGAATATATGATTGTTTAAGCCCCAATATATTTACAGCTATATCACAGCAAAGGGTAAACAACTTGTTCTGGTCTGGACTTGACAAACCAGTGACTGACATCGTGAGCATGTGAGTTGAATTTCATGACACAACCAGTCATCACACACTATACTACCCCCATCCACTCTGAAGTTTTACAGCTTATGTATGGGGAGCATCTTGGAGGTTTAAACACCAAGCCAAAGCTTGACGTACAGGTAAGGAAATGATATACTACAAAAGTGATAACTGAGAAACAGTTCCACTGAACAGGATTTTAGACATACATGATTCATGGAAATGTTTCAGTTTGTAAACAATCTTCTTTATCAGTGAAAGATCGTCAACTTTGAATTGATTGTCAAGTTCATATCACCTTTTTCATCCAAAGTTCAAAAGCAGATGATTTAATCAATAAATCAATGTATCACATGATCTGTGCCAATCAGTGTAGCCATGGTGGTTGAGATCTATATAGGATAAATGATTTCAGATTATCATGGGAATATATGAGGTCATAAAGTTAAGCTTCAGTATGTTTAAGTTGCTTGACCTTCACTCCAAGATTCTTATATATTTCACTTTTGGCATATAAAACTGCTTCTTTGGCATAAAGTTACAATTGAAGATGAATGGCTTCTTCAATTTCTGCACTGTAAGCTATGTAGGTATAAAATGTGGTAGAGAAATATGCACAAAGACAACAAAATGAAAAACCTCTCATGAAAAATGTCCTAATACATTGTACTTCATCTCATTCAAATCAGGTCCTGTTTTCCAATATGTTACCTCTTTGCATGAAGATCAGACAACACCTCCTTACAGAGTCAACACTCACTCAGAGTGAACTCTGACCTCAATGAAGGCTTCATGACCAATCAGATGTCAGCTTTCTAGAATTATATGACTCCGACCTCAATGAAGGCTTCATGACCAATCAGATGTCAGCTTTCTAGAATTATATGACTCCGACCTCAATGAAGGCTTCATGACCAATCAGATGTCAGCTTTCTAGAATTATATGACTCCGACCTCAATGAAGGCTTCATGACCAATCAGATGTCAGCTTTCTGGAATGACTTTCTGGCTACCTCAATTCAGAAATGTTGCACAAAAGGAGACCCACACAGACCACTACCATTACTTCAATGCACTACCGGTTGGCACTGTTATTTTCAAAATTGTGAACTACAGGTTAAAGTGGGTATTTTAGATACCAAATTTTGATATGCTTTGTCTGAAAGGTTATTACCAAGAACTTTAAAGCATCAAAGCTGACTGGCTGATTAGAAAGTTAACTTCAGACATTCCTTTTTAGAGGCTGTCAATCTTAACGTTGAGGTTTTGAATCAGAGCAAAAGATCTGATTTAATGAGATTGTTCACACAATGCATCTTCAGTTTATGTCCATGCTGTAATCATTCTTCTAAATGATTATGTAAATATGCTAATGTCATTAATATGAACCATGAGATCTCAAGCAGGGCACACTGCCCACAGGAAGAACAGTGGACTCAAGAGCTCCTCTTGCATTTGTTTCTGACATAGATGTATATCATGCATAATGTAATGTTTCACCCAGAAACTAAACACTGAAAGAAATAACTGTCAGAATGCTATGTAAGCATGGTAAGATCATGGGTGTTGTAAACTCCAGGTCCGAAGGAAGTCAACTAGAAATCGGAGAAAGAACACGTCTAGATTCGCCTATGGGCTTTGACAAAAAATGAAATAAATCCTCTCCACCCTATACTATTTGACTGACAAACTAAATATAAATAACATTCAAGGACTGTTCACGCTGAAGAAATCTCACACAACACCTGCACCACAACCTGCTCGACTGACAAGCATGTTGCTAAGCAACGACCACTGATCAGCATCTGGGTCATACGATTCCGCACTCCGTAGACGACTCTGGCCGTCGAAGCCACCGACGACATATATCTTTCCATCAAACACTGAAATGCCCGGCCAAGCTCGGGGTGTGTTCATTGGGGTGATGGTTGTCCACTGGCGGGTGAGAGTGTTGAATCTGTGCAATTAGATATTCATAATAACTATGACTGAAACATGTAGCTATGTGCAAGTAGTTTTAGTGTTAACATATTTGTCGTAATTGTCACTGGAAGCAAAGTATTGACATGGTCCAAATAGGTGGGAGCAGTATTTGATTCACCATTAACTAGCATTGACCATTCTATTCTATCAACAGGGTCCGATCCACAAAGCATTCATCACTTTACGACCCATCGTAACTTATTCTTCATCATAGGTTTACGAATGGCATAACGCTACAAACGTTTGTGGAACGGGCCCCAGGACATAACAAGCATGCCCCAAAATCATTGGCTGTAATAAACAATGAGCATATATTTTGTGTTATAAAGCTAACATAAATATGACACTGAAAGTCATCATGACTGACTGACTGACTGAGTTTTGGTTTTACGCTGCTTTTAGCAATATTTCAGCAACATCACGGCAGGGGACATCAGAAATGGGCTTCACACATTGTACCCATGTGGGGATTCAAACCCGGGTCTTCGGCGTGACGAGCCAACGCTTTAACCACTAGGCTACCCCACCGCCCCTTGAAAGTCATCATGAGGTAAGGTGAGGTGAAATTGGGTTTAACGTCGTGCTTGAGAATATTTCACTCATATGACGACGTGCATGCGTGTGTATGTGTATGTGCGGCTGCTTGTACTAGCCCAGACTGAAGCTGGTTTAATAGTGCTAGCCCACTAAGATACCATGCCGCAGTGAAGCATGAATATCCCACTCAGACACATCATACTGACTCCGAGCCGACCAGTCCTTCTTGTACCCATTAATGCCGAACGCCAGGCAGGGACCAACAAGTACCATATTTTAACGTCTTTTGGTATGACGCGACCGGGGATCGAACCCGCGACCTTCCGCTCTCCGGGTGGACGCTCTAACCACTACACCACGGAGGCGGTCGAAAGTCATCATGAACGTAAAGCAGGCAGATGGTGTGAAGATTCCTACCTCTCGACGAGATCGAAGTACTGGTCAGTGTGTCTGAAGCGTCCCCCGAATGCATATATGAAGTGGTCAACAGTGACCAGTGACAGCCCCGACCGGGCCTTCTCCATCTCCGCCGCGAACGTCCACTCCTGTGTATCTGGGTCAAAACACTCCACGCTGGCCCTGTCCATATGCAATGTCTTGTCATAGCCACCTGAAGCCACACAAACAACTGTTAAGTTCTGCGTAAGTAAGTAAGCGCTTGTACATAAGTATGTGTTTGTACATGTGTGTACATAGTGTCTCAGGCCCTACCACTTCAGCTCAAGAATAGTGTCAAATGACCTACAAATCTGGGATTCAAACCAACCATTCAGAAATGATTCGTTTTACCTCTTTGCTAAACTTTTGATAAAGTGAGTATGGTTTTACACCGGTTTTAGCAATATTCCAGCAATATCACAGCAATATCACAGCAGGGGCCACCAGAAGAGGGCTTCACCCATTGTACCCAAGTGGGGAACAGAACTCAGGTCTTCGGTGTAACAAGCTAACGCTTTAACCACTAGCTACTCCACCACCCCTCTCATAAGACAGATGGACCAGGTATTATAGCTTACAAAACATGGTATTCACTGGATCAATTGATTTAAACATTAGTCTTACCAGCTACATATATCTTGCCATCACACACAGAAACCCCTGAGCCTGCCCGCTTCCTCTTCATGCTGGGAGCAAAACACCACATCTCTGTCTTGGGATCGTACCTCTCCATGATGCTGTAGCTGCACGATCGATCCTCACCCCCTGGAACAGTGTCACCATCTTGGTTGGTTCAGCTTCCACGATACAAGCCATCAGGTAATGGTGAGTGAGTGAGTGAGTGAGTTTAGTTTTACGCCGCACTCAGCAATATTCCAGCTATATGGCGGCGGTCTGTAAATAATCGAGTCTGGACCAGACAATCCAGTGATCAACAGCATGAGCATCGATCTGCGCACTTGGGAAACGATGACGTGTCAACCAAGTCAGCGAGCCTGACCACCCGATCCTGTTAGTCGCCTCTTACGACAAGCATAGTCGCCTTTTGTGGCAAGCATGGGTTGCTGAAGACCTATTGTACCCCGGATCTTCACTGGTTCATCAGGTAATGGACTACTTGACAGTTGTATTTCACTAAACACCTTTGAAACCCTTCAGTACATACACCACATACTACTATTCTTCCTAAAGAATAGTCCTAAACTTGAAAAAGTCGAGAAAAATACTTTATCGGCATGAAAATGGATCATTTGCTCGTAATTAGCTGGACCTGTGGCTGATAGCACGAGCTGTCCATGCCACCACAACCAATCCACAACATCACACATTATGACATCCACTCCTCAGAACAAGCCTGTCAACAAGCATGGGATTTAAGGAGCAAATACTGCCCTGAATCTGTACTGAGGGAGTCAGTTTTACATGGGAAATGTATGTGTACATGATCCAGACTACCCACGTAGCTAAGAAGCGGGTCATTTGCTTTTCTGGAAGACATCTTGGTCCCCTGCCTGGACTTCATATCTACTGAACATAACTGCACTACTTTACTTCCACCAGAAGGAGTGAGTGAGTGACAGACTAGGGTTTAATACCACTCTGAACAATACTCCAGTTACAGCACAACGATTAAATCCCATAGTGATGCTTTCCCAGACATTATAATTTTGGTGAAACCATGAACCTAGGTTAATGCTGAAAAATAATAATCAGGGCAAACCACAAACACAGGAATCTGGTGGATCCAAGTCTGCACACTGAATACCGACACCAGTGATTTAGGTACCCATGCTCCCTTTCTGTGAGACAACATGTGACCAATATACCGTAGCAGTGAGTGAGTGAGTTTAATTTTATGCCGGTTTTAGCACTATCACTGCGGGGAACACCAGAAATGGGCTTCACACATTGTGACCATGTGGGGAATAGAACCCAGGTCTTTGGTGACGAGCGAACACTTTAACCACTAGGGTACCCCACCGCCCCTATATATACCTACAGCAGCATGTGACAACATACCTATAGCATACAAGACCCCTGCCACAGCAGCCACTGCCACAAATGACCTTGCAACCTTCATCTCCGTCTTTGGTATCCACTGTTTCATCACTGGGTCGTAACACTCCACACAGCGGAGGTAGAGAGTGTCCTCTTGAGTGTCGACCAGCGCACACTCACCACCCACTGCAAACAGCATCCCATCCAGGCTGGTGGCCCCTACCGCTGTCCGGGCAATGTTCATACTGGGCTAGAATACACAGAGAATTAGTCACTGAAAACAAGATCAACAAACATGTCTGTCTAAATTTGGAGCACAACAAATCTAGTCCCGATCCCATAGGTTCAGACCCTGATAGTTCAGACCCATTTAGCACAGACCCAATTAGTTCTGTTCTGACTTGTCCAGAACCAGTTAGTTCTGATCCTAATAGTCCAATCCAAAAACTTCAGACTCTCTTAGACCCATTTGGAACAGACCCAATTTGCCTGAGCCCTGCTGGTTCAGATCCAATTAGTTCTGATCTTAATAGTCCAGACCCTGTCAGTTCAGACCCAATTTGTCCAGACCCTGTCAGTTCAGACCCAATTTGTCCAGACCCTGTCATATCAGACTCAATTTGGCCAGATCCTGTCAGATCAGACCCAATTTGGCCAGACCCTGTCAGTTCAGACCCAGTTTGTCCAGACCCTGCCAGTTCAGACCCAATTTGTCCAGACCCTGTCAGTTCAGACCCAATTTGTTCAGACCCTGTCAGATCAGACCTAATTGTGTCCAGACCCTGATAATTCAGATCCAGGAAGTCAAGGCATTGTAAGACCAAATCTAATTAGTCCAGACACTGTTCGTTCACATAAAAACATTTGAGTTTTTCGCTAATTACTGAAATTGTTTATCCCTTGGGTCAAGGATGGCCCTCACCAAATCCTTATTTAATCAAGATGATGAAAACTATGATGCCAAAAGTATTTACAGGGTTTGTCTGCATCATTTTCACTATTTGCATTTCTTTGCAACAAATGATCATCATTAACATACTAAAAACCACAACAAATACAAAGTGTCACACAACAAAAGCTGACAGCATTTATGTGACACTTCTCCAGCCAGGTGTTGCTCCTACCATGGACATCCACTGATCAGTCAGAAAGTCATATCTCTCCACACTCTTCAGCTGACAGTCCGAGCTGTTCCTGCCCCCCACCACATATATACACGGGGGCTGGGCTCGGGGGGTCACAAGTTGCATGGCCGTCATGTCCTGTTTTGTTCGAATTGCTTTGCTGATGAACAACTGGCACTTTGGACACGTACGAAAAAACTCGGATTTTAACACAACATTTTCCAAGTATGGCAGCTCTAGCAAAGCTAATCGGATGTGTTGGAGAACGGTGCAGGCTTTGTCAAGACGACACACGGGGTCCCACTGCAGCCACGCTGATGCTGCCTCGAACACCTGGCTCTCGGCCATCACCTGAAGTTTATCACTTTTCAACAACTGGAGAAGCCTCTCTTCAGCGAGATCGAAAAACTCATCTGTTCGCACGACTTCGAGAAAGTTCTGATAGATGAACTGTCTTGCAATTGCTTCCAGCTCTGTACATGTGTACATGTCTGCAAAGTGCTGGATACCTGCAAACATGGAGAGCAGATTTAGGTAGCTGAATTCTGTTACAGTTTGTCTTTGTTTATTATTTATTTGTTGTTTAGTTAGTTAGTTAGTGAATTGAGTTTTACGCCACATTCAGCAATATTCCAGCTATATGGCGGTGGTCTGTAATTAATCAAGTCTGGACCAGACAATCCAGTAATCAACAGCATGAGCATCGATCTGCGCAATTGGGAACCGATGACATGTGTCAACCAAGTCAGCGAGACTGACCACCCGATCTCGTTAGTCTCCTCTTACGACAAACATGGCTTGCTAAAGACCAATTCTAATTGGGTCTTCATGGGTGTTACAGTTTGGGAGTGATGTAGGATTAAACCTGTGTGCTGTTGTACGAAGCCATCCTAAAGTACTGTCTATAGAAATAGAAAAAACTTTTTTTTTCACATTTATATCCACAATTTATGTAGTTAATATGTGAAAGTGTGAAATATCTGTGAAACTAAGTTCGGGCTAACTACAGACTCAGTGGTAAGGAGATAGGAAACGTAAAAAAAGGACTTTACTGGGGAGAGATTAGTGCAGAAATGAGTATTGTGGGCTTTTTCCAAGTCCAAGGCGACTTATTTGGAACAGACCTTGGCTTTATGCAAATTAGTGTACTATGACATTGTATTTCAAAGGACACTTTTTAAATGCCCATTTTGAAATAAGACTTAGCTTCATTATAAACAATAGCTGATGGACAAAATAATAGTTTTAATTGTGAAACTCTTAAGGATGCTTCTACCATGGAGTTTCACTACCACTATAAAAACAAACAGACATGGGGGGTCGTCTCAAAAGCAAAACCAGGTTGGGTGTCGCAGACGATGGTTGGGGTTGGGTGATAGAGATATCAGCTAAGATAAGATAATCCTTTAGGGGAATTAAACTGGGCAAGTAACAAATTACAAATAATATCCAGTCCTGTCGAACTTCGGGTGGCCATGCCACCTATGTATTTTGAGACATTTAATAGGATGGTTGATTTAAGCCTTTCTATGGGTATCATACTGTTTTATATATCTCAACATGAACTTTATGAGAGAAAGACACATTAAATGTTAATAAATATATGAGACATATTCAACACACAAGAAAATGCATAGAATATCTTTGAGTTGATGCCTTGTGCCTGTAGGCAGCACGTGCATTTCATGCTAGGTGTGTCGATGGTCCGTCATCATACCTGACCTAATTGTCATCTATAGTCTGATCTACTGTTTTAAGCAGCTATTCATATAGTTTCTAAGTTTTGCCTTATTTTACGAGTAAACATGCTTTTCTGGATATCCTATTACGCATCCGACTAAACGCCCAGTTAGGCCGAAGTGTTTTTTTTCGACATATGCTATTTGAATTGCAATTGTGTACATTTTTGGGATACAGAGTAACAGCCAAAAAAACAGTTTTTTTTCTATTTCTGACAGTACTTTAGGGCTAAGAAGATCATTACTCACATACCTTAACATAGACTTGCAACTGACAGAGCGCTAAGGTTGCTTTGTACAATGGCAACTGAATAACCCTTATAACAACCCTGCAGGGTTCAACGTTAACATCAGACCAGTGGACTAGTGGGTCTTAAAGTTTACTAGACCAGACCTAATGGCAACTAGACCATACTGTTGGAAGACAAAACAAGGCTATTTGTTATCAGCAGGTTCATAGTGCATACTAGAATAACAAACTATAGTAAACACAAAACTATGTGATAATTGTTTTCTTCTGTCCATTATGAATACCAGGGCTCCAGATAATTTTTCAACATCAGGAGTACGTACTCCTTATTTTTTCAATACAGGAGTACTGGAAAACTTTAAGAGTACATTTTGAGTACTGAATGGGATTTAAAGTAGTATCAGTAATCTTGTGTTTCGTTTCATATATGCACCACAACATTGCAATAATCAATAAAGCAATACATTTTCAGATAAATACGTAAGTAAATGATTCTAAGACCATACACCACTGCTGTGGTGCGTATCTGCTACAATTATTTCCTACCGTATCGTGCTTATTTTATATCCGTACATAAGCCGATACGACCCTTATCTGGAGCCCTGAATACTGTACCTTAACTTTTGACTTTTCTGAAGAACGTTATCATTAAAGAGTAGCTTTTATAGTCTTTCTACACTTTAATAAGCTTACTAACAGTTTCTATAATACTTATTATAATACATGACACTGTGCAAGACTTTTAATAACAAAAATAAACAAATATGGTGATTTGAAACAGCCTTCATTAAATATCAACACGACCAGTCGGGCTAGCCAGACACAATTTTAACTAGACTGGACCAGCTATTTACTAGACAATGTCATTCGGACGTGCCTTAGTGTCGAACACTATTTCAATTACATCATGGAGTATCAGCACAATGTGAAAGGGTAAAGTGACACAGACTGGAAAACATTATGAACATGGGGATGGTGCTGAAAGACCAGGAATCATATCCTGAGAAATCTTAATCCATACTCTGCTGATCCTGAAAGGGCTAAGGAACACCACACATCACGGAGCATTGTTTTTAACTATTGTACTTTGTCCCCTATACTGTAGTGTGGTACTCAGAAATCATGGTGTTACTGCCTTCAAAACTACAGACAATGTGTCAAAGTAATGTAGAGTGTAGCCAGTATGACTATGTTGACATGACCTGGGTGAGTCTGCCCTGCATGTTACAATCAGGGATAAGTGGAGTGAGTGAGTTGGGTTTTATGCTGCTTTTAGCAATATTCCAGCAATACGATGGAGGGGAACACCAGAAATGGGCTTCACACATTGTAGCCATGTGGGGAATTGAACCTGGCTCTTCAGCGTGACGAGTGAACAATTTAACCACTAGGCTACCCCACCATCCTTGGGATAAGTGGAACAACTATTCTTTATATCAGTACATGGTAAATGCAGAAAATCATATTTCAATTCAGTTTTAACATATTTTTATCCTAGAAAAAGTCAACTATATTTTCACACCCTTTCTGTAATGGGTTTTGTCCATCCACCTAAACATGTTGAACTTACCCAAGCAGTTTGATGCCACCAACTGGGTCTGTAGAAAATGTGAGCAGATTGTCCTTAGAGAGTGTAGTCCCAACAGACTGGCACCCTGAAGAATACTCTGTACATTCTCCACATTAATCTCAATGTTACTTGTGTACATGAAGTCCAGCAGCATCTCCATGGTGGTCGGCTCCACGCCATGTATTTGTACACAGTCCCTGTCTGTCTCCAACATCCCGTTGGTGAACATGGCCCGCAGGTACGGGCTGCAGCCCGCTAGGACCACTTTGTGGGCATGGAACTTGGCGCCATCCACGCACAGGATGACGTCGCAGAGTTGCTGCTGCCGCCGCAGGTCTTGCATAACATCGAAAGCATTCTTGGCATGTGTTGGCACGCAGCAGCTGCGAGACTCGATCATGCCGGACTAGCCAAGCAGGGGGCGATGAGGGGACACCCTGCAATGAGTGAGTGAGTGAGTGAGAGTGTCAGAGTGTGAGAGTGAGTGAGTGAGTGAGTGAGTGCAAGAAGGTCAAATAACAGCATAAGAGCAAATGGTAGTTGATGGCATACATGTGCATTTATCTGGTATTTCAAAACTTTTCAAAAAAAATTAACATCTGAATTTATAGACATTTTCTGGAGATTTTACTGAATCTTCTCGCCATTTCTGATCCATGTTTACAGTAACATAACACCACACTTGTTTGTACACAAAAAATAACATAGAATGTATCCTGCATTTGGTTTCATAAACAGCAGACAAACAGTTGGCATATGAGTGTTATGAACTGTATGCAAGGTATATATAATTAATATAATAATGCTTGATTGATAACAAAAATATGCTAATCATTCTCTTGACTTTTTTGTGAAAATCATCTTCATCCAAACCTCTCTTTGAGGTCAATAACTGAAATTCCATGCATGAAATGGTCAATAAAGTTATTACCCCTTATTTAGTACTGAACCATACCAAAGTCAGAACCAGTAATAGGCCGACTGATAGTCTGGGAAACAGACTATCAGCTTCAGCTTCAGCTTCAGGTTCAACGGAAAGAAGGAACAGGGGACTTACATTTAGATCTGCTTTCATTTACCCGTTACGCCAGAAGTGTTTTTTGTAGAATAAATGTTACCAAAATACTAACAATAAGGACGGCAGGTAAGAAAAATAATCCCCAACAGTTTAACAGTAAAATTATGCAATATGATTTTTGTGTTTAATTTCTGCATATTCTTGTGCCTTCATTCCGTTGAAGCGGAAGCTTGCAGGGGTAATGGAGGAGAAGAACGATTTGACATGCCACAATTTGTGCTTGAAATGTTGAATTAAATATATTGTAAGTGAGTAATTATTAAATATGAGGTTTGAATTCTGAGAACACAACTCTGTGAGGAAATGAGTGTATACCTTTGATGATGGCGATATTTTATTTTGATATTAAAAATAGCACAGCACGTTGCCAACCTTTGCTCGCTTCGCTCGCATATAGGAAGACTTTTCATTTTCTCTTTGTTGCACAACCCTATTTGCGCTACAATTTGCCTGTGCTTCAACTTTGACACAACATTCTTAACTATACATGAACTTCGCTCAAATGTACAGGTCTCCTCTGACAGAACACGATTCAGGTGATAGGAATCAGTAACAGTAATGGCCCCACTGGCCGTCACAGTAATAATGGCTGTGCTGGTTATAATTATGCATACTAAATGTGATTAAATCATACCCATCACCACACTACTTATAAAGATTTTTCATGTTTTTCATTAAAAAATATAAATGTGTAACAGATCCACTATACGTTAAGATTGTCCAAACAAGACAAATAGTGATATACTTAACTATTAGATCAATCTCCAGCAGAAATCGTATTTATCTTCGTCGTTACGAGAAACAAAGGCACAAAAATAACCATGACAACTCGAGGCAACGTGACAATGTCGACAGATGTAGTGATAGCACTTATATGTGTGCATGATGTCGTGATGTTATTGAATTATGACACATGACATGAACATAACAATCTGTCACTTGCGCTTTGCTTGGGTTTTTTGCCAACAGAAAGCCACTTGACACAGTCAGATAAACAACACATGTATAAATGAAAGCACCTACGGCCAAAACACACAAGGTAGAGTTGTTGTCTACGATCACGAAACCAATTTCTTCGTCGAAGTACTGAGCACTATGTTTTCGTGAACTCGCTACTTTTCGTTATAACTAAAACGGCTCAGCTCCAAAATGGTGTGTATAAAAACGGCCCGTGTAAAAGGGCGAAAACCAGGCAAAACGTAGGTTTGTAAAATGTTCATTATTGAAGTAAATGAAACGTAATAAATTAGTGAATGAGTTTAGTTTTACAGCGCTTTTAGCAATATTCCAGCAATAACACGGCGGGGGACACCAGAAATGGGCTTCAAACATTAATTGTAGGATGAGACTATTTTTATGGATATACAACTTCTTTATTCTGTATCTAGGCGGCGTTTCGACATAGATTCTAATGTCGTTGTCAAGTAATTTGGGGTGATATATATACATGAGATGTTTGGACAATAGATGAAGGATGAGGCGAACATGAGTTGTTTATACAATAGAAGAGTTGATATAACACAGATAGTATACAGGATTAAGTAAACATTAATTGTACCTAATTGGGGAATCGAACCCGGGTATTCAGCGTGACGAGCGAACGCTTTAACCATTAGGCTACCCCATCGCCTCTAGTAGTGGTAGCAGGTGCCGGATACAGCTTTTTGAGAAAGGGAGAGGGGTGAATACGTTTGAGAAAGGGGAAGGGGGGAGGTGCACGCTTCATTTTCACCCGTTTTCACGAGTGTTCCTGTGGTTATTTGATAACTTTCAGGACAAACGGGGGGTGGGGTGGGGGTGCACACCCTTGCACCCCAATCCCAACCCACCCAACCCCCTCTGGATCCGGCTATGGGTAGAGGTAGTAGCTACATAGCAGTATCAGATTAAATTAAATAAATGAATACAATCAATAAGAGGGTCAGTGTGTCCAGTCATGGCTGGACTCATCTTCAGCAAGAACTTGTCAGAGAATGGGAAGACTTCCTAACACTGCAGCCCGTGCAGGCAGATATCCGGGTACCCATTTCAATGTCCTTCAAGTGTATAACTTAATGCTGTTGTTGTTGCTGTCGTCGTAGTCGTAGTTGTTGTTGTTGTTATTCTTGTTGTTAAGAATCCTATGGTTTGTTCAAGGATACCATTATATGACAGAGTGTTGGTGTGTTTGGGAATTAACATTTCACAACCGAAAAAGCGTTTTCTTTAGACTTTTGGAGAAATGAATTAGAACTGTAATTAAATACCGAGGTAGAAGTGGTTTTCAATTAATATTATCGTACACTCATTCAGTTAACATTCATTATGAAGTTTTTTAATGACATTTTAGAAGTAATACACATATAGGGGTAAGTCTGTGGATGCCAACTTCTGTACTAAGTAGAACACTCGGTTCCGGTGTATATTGACCCGATGAAAGAGTAAACTATACTCCAAAACGTTCTGTTCCTCATATTACAGAAGCTGACATCCATTAATTTATCCCCTTTAAGTATGCGCGCATTCAATTAATGTTATCGTTCAATAAGATTAACATGAAATATTAAGAAAAACACTACAGTATCAACGGAATCAAGAAGCTAATGAAATTTGCTGAGCGATTACACCCCGAGTATGTGTGTAATCCGACCGTTAAAGGTCACATGCAACCAAAAAATCAAACATAATTAAAACACAGTTATCACTTCTTCATGACATATAATATGCATTGCTGATTATGAAAAAACAAATAAACAAAATTATAAGCGTATAATCGCAAATCAAAAGTGCAATATTTTGTACTTGGGTTTACCTCCCTCGAAACGAAGCAGCCGGGATACCGAACCCAGTCAGAGCGGGTGGGTGTGCACTCAAGTGTAACGGCTGGTTCATTAGCAGATGCCGCCTTCACGGCTCATTGTGTGTGTATATATAGAGATGTTGGGTTTTGTAAATACATGCTCATTTTTTTTGTGTATAACGTTTTGCAATCAACAGACATCATAACATGTCATGTGTTCAAGTATCACACGTACCTGCCTGTCTGTGTAATTACATAATGTGACAGAGACCGAACTCGGGCCATAAATCAATGCGTTTTGTTTATGGTGTATAGCCTGATTGGTGTTAAATTCAAATTGCATGTGGTCAGTGATCGCAGTTGTGTATTGAATATTGTCATTAGCAGACAGGCAGGCAGACACACAGGTGTCAATAAAACAAGACATTGAGTTTTGTCTGTGAGAGCGACATATCTATATCACAGTTAGAAATTGTGTCAACGCTAAATAATGACATTACTTTTAAGTATCGAACTGAGAAAGTGACTCGGTAAGAAGAACGTGTGGTGAAATAGACAAATGTAATTATATAAACAGTTTATTTACTGTCATAACATATAAAAAGCTCGCGCCTGTGAGATATCAACAAAACATTATGAAAATAGCTCACACCAAAGCCTTCACCGAGTATTCACCAGACAGCCCGCTTCCAAGTTGCGCGAACCTATTGCACTGCGCACGTGCTATGAGCGCAGCCCAGCTGTTGAAACCCGTATTCCCCAGAAAAGTCTGGGGAAAATTAGTGAAACGTTTGAACTCCGATTTCGCGCGTTTTTTTTCATCGCGTTATTTTTCAACTTTATAAGTTGAATTTGCATTTTTGACGCTTTGTTTCGGTAAGTCCATACCGAAAGGTATCAGAATCTGCAAAGTTGTGTTTTACGTTGCATGTAATCATCTAATCTTTGAACTAATTAATCTATTTCTTCTTTCAGAGGCATTTAGAAGCTGATTTGATAAAGAGGAACAGTTTATTTGGATAGATAACCACTTTATGGCAATAGACGCGACGTTTCGGTAAAGACGCTAACACCGTTATCAAACAATTAATCTGTGTATTCAGTTCAGACAAATCAACATGACACAGGTGCTCGATTTATGCCACAGTAGTTACTTAAATCAACACAACAACAGCCTTGTTTTGGTAGAGTAACTTAATTGCTCATCTAACTTTGTCCCTGAGTGACCACCACTCTTAATTACCCCTATGCATTTGTCCCTGACTGACCACTGTATTCCCCTATTATGTAAGAGGACGGTGGTCACTCAGGGAATATACCAACTGGAGTGCTGTCCAGGGGCTCCTTTCACGAAGTAACCTTTACTAAGGTTAACCTTAACTCCCCCATTCTTTAACAGTGCACTAAGGTTACCTTAGTGACTTACGATCACCTTAGTGCTTCGTGAAAGGAGGCCCTGAACATCAATGGACGTCAAATAAGTTGGCGAACAGGCATACAATGTACAAATTCATTTGTTCATAATATTTCTAAAATGTTTTGAACCATACATGAGATATTTGGAAATAATCTATAATGTTTTTATATGAGACTGAAGTTGAGAGAATTCTTGATCTTTTTTTGCCCGGGCTGTTTTATGTAAACAAATTATGGCTCGTTTTAGATAGGAGCCGTTTTATCCGGTAGCTTATTTTGTTCGATCGAACGGGAAGTGTCGAATCGAGGGAGCACGTATTGAGTGTACGTGTAAACAGACGTAAAGAGTGTTCACAAGCATTCTGATAACAGCAACAATTCGACTTATTCATACAAATTAATATCATGATTATATGTGAGACGAGTTCTTTTTACTTCTTACATACTTCAGTAAAACAAAGTCAAAGATGGTTGATCAATTATTACCTCCCTATCAAAGGGAGTTAAATATGTAGGTCAACGAAAAGAATGACTTTGAGATTTGTAGAAGACCTTCTGTTTCCAGCATATTTTACTCACTTTGCAAGCGATAGATGCCTGTATATTAGGGCTTAATTTGAGAAACTCTATTATGCTTTGTCTTCATTTACTTGTATTACAGACTTTCTTCACAGACGAATTATTTATAGTGGTATGCATAATATTTTGCAAAAGTGCCTTCCCTTTGACGTATTCCCGGAAAGGCAAAACTGCGCAAGAAGTTTGCAGTTTGCTGTTCCTCTAAAACTACGACGCAAACCCTCAACTCATAAGAAAGTTTTAATTAAAAGGTATTTGGGTTGTATGGTGTATATTATCGGGCCAATTGACTTTCGGTATCACTTGAAATATGGTATTGAACATCGTGTCATTGAGTGACAGGGTAATAATGTCGGTCCTGTTTTTGATCACTTGGCTGACTTGATTATTTCTTAAGTACTGGAATTTTTGTATTTTATCTTAGGCCGTTCATAATGTATGGCTAGAGGGTGGTGTGCGGGGTGTCACTTACTTTGTACATAAATTGTAGGGGAGATCATTCACATTGTCCATGCTTCTCCATAAAAATCATCATCACCCCCAGCTTTAAATTATGAACAGCCCCTCATGTCAAATAATACAGAATGTTGAAATGAGAAAATATCAATGTTTGAAAATATACGCTTATACTTTTTGGACATTGAAACTAGAATTCTCAGTACAAACTTTGAAATGTTATCCTTTCATGGGCCCTTTGATTTCTGAACTGAACAGACTAGAATTATTCCCCATAGATTATGACTTATGATTGTTGCCAATTGATGTATTCTGGTCTCCTATCTATTTCCAAGGCCCAAGATATGGATACTGAAATTAATCACTTGAAAAAGTGTGTTGGAATTGCAAAAGATGAATACAGGGAAGTTTATCGTGTGTATTTTCCCTCAGTATCCTCACCTCAAGAGAGAAACAAATATGTATAACAATTGTGACGTACATGTGACATCACTAGTGGTAAGCGACTTGCACATATGGCAGAAACTTCTCTTTGTCTTTCATTATCAATTGGCAACAGTGATGTCATGTTGTGAGGGACAAAACCCTGGTGTGTATATTAATGAGATAGAACTCACAGCAAATGTGCAAAATGACAATATATTGCAAAAAATAATTTAGTGACTTGTGATATCTGTGCTGTTTTGGCTTTGAAACTACAAGATAAATAATTTATATGTTGAAAAAGTGAAAGGTGTATTTCCATGTGAACTTGCCCGTTGACTGTTTTCACAAGTTTCCAAACTTATCCAATTTCAAAAGTATCAGCTGATGGCTGACCTACATGTTCAACAATGTATACACAAACTGAATGACTGGTTCACAGACTGCCTGATCCAGAGATATCAATAACAATATATCCACAAGTCATGTTTGATCATTTCCCTATAAATGTGCAGACATGCCCCTTGGCACAATATCTGTACATGCAGTCACCTTTGATCGTGGGGAGGTCGACACTATGAAATGTGCTGATACGCCCCTTGGCACAATATCTGAAGCTGCATGCCTGGATGCTGATAACACTGCAACCATGTTGCAATGTTTAGATATCAATCAAAATATGTCTAAAGACCTGTAATAACACCATATCAAACTTTAGATTGAGTTACACAGTTAACACAAGGCTCCACACCAAGCGAACATGACTTGTGCTTGAACTGATATTAGAATGGTTTCAGTAGGATAGCTTCAAGTGAAACTGATGTATCTGGATTACAATGAACTAGTAGACTTGGGACATGTGTAAGTGCATATGATATATTTACTTTTATATTTCATAATTATTCAGTATCTGAGTTGCCCAGTCATCTAAGAGTTCTCTCCTTTGGACCAGGCCAGAAACTGATGATTGAGGTTCGAATCCTGGTTCACCCTGTTCATGTTTCTTGGTTTGTTAGCTCCATACTCGTGCTCGTGGGTTTCACCAAAGTGGTAGAAGTCTGTGATATGATTCTCTTCAGGCTTTTTTGCCGCACAAAGCTGACATTCCATGATTTACTGTAATCATAGTTATTTTCGCGTGGGATTAATTTTCTCTCTTTTTGCGCAAAAAGATTGTGCGTCAATTATCATACCAAGCGAAATATTCATGGTCAAGTCATGACAAATACTCAAGTATGAACAACATGCAATTTGTTTAATGCAGCCAATCATCAATTTGACCATGTGAACAACACGTGTTCATAAACAACAAACACTACTTTATGATTTTTTACGTTTAATTATCGTAAGTCCTAGTATACACTCTTCCTTAAGTTGTTGTCAGTTAATCTCGCATATGGGACAGGTGTTGTCATGTTGACACAAGTATAATCCCACCTCTCTCTCTGATTGTTTTAGTAAACATGATTCAATTATGGCGGCAAGCTTTGATCATTGCATGTCTATTGGTTGTGAAAACTTTGTGATGGATACCATCACTCAGGTGTTTGAAATGCGCGAAAAAACAGCTGTGCTAAAAGGTCTTTTGTGAACTTTCTGCGAAAATTGCACCCCGTGAAAATATATACGATTACAGTAACTGCAATATCGTTCAAATCAGCATTCTACCCGGCTCACTCAACATCTTTGAGTGGCATTTAGAAGCAGTATACAGAATTGACACATAGATTTCAACTTCTTCAGTAAAGATGCTAGTTGTAAGTTTATCAGGCAAGGGATCTGTTCTGAAATGTCACACTGAAAATATATCAAGTTAAAATCTGTCTTCTTGTTTAACCTTTATTATGTCAAATGTCACATGGTGGTCACATGGTGGTCACACTGGTTTCCTACATGATAACCTTGACAAGTAATGATGGAATACGTATCTATGGATTATTTGTCACCATGATCTAGCTAGAACATTGCTATCTGCAGCATAAAAAATCAAGTCAATCTGAAAGGAAGTTTGGTTATGTTCCAGATGGCGAGGCGAGGTATCACAATTGTCTAGGTGACAAATGGAGAACAACCCAGAATGCATCAACTCCGAGTGTGTTGGTATTGGTATTCCAGCATATCACGGCAGATGTCAGATGTGCCAGCATGCTCAGGATAATCCGATCATTCAAATTGAGGCTCCCAGAAACCTTGTAGACCCTGTTGCCCCTTTCAAGTGCTTGATAGAAAATTGTCCCAACTTTGGGAGCATTGAGAAAGGAAAATTATGCAATGAATGTTACAACACTCATCCACACAGATGCAAGACGCTTCATTGTGATAATGTCAGCCTTGCTAAAAATGACTTTTTCTGTAAAGACTGTCTAGAAAAACGTGAAAAAGATGCACATCAATCAGAATGTGAAGGGCATCTTACTGGAACTTTTCAAAGTCAAAGACATTCCAAGGACCCAGGTTTGGAAGATGAGGCAAGTGGAACACCCCAAGGATGGAGCTCTACCAGACCAAGTGTAGAACCTCAGTATTTGGACCCTGTGTGGAGAAAGTGTCTTACTTCTGGCTGTGGCAATTCAGGTACCAGTGCCAATGGACTTTGTCTTCAGTGCTACTTGGGACAGGTTGATAGTGAAGGGCAGGCGAGTGGTTTCCTGGAGTGTCATGTAACTGGTTGCAAGGAGTTTGGGTATCAGAAGTTGCATGGGTTTTGCAGAAAATGTTACAGTGCTGGTCAGATCATGGATAAGACAGTCATTAAGAAGTCACCTTCTTCATCTTCCTTGGCTGAACATGCTAAAAAGGGTGAATTTAAATGTTCCACACCCAACTGTAATTTTTTTGGCCTTGCAGAACAGAATGGACAGTGCAGCAGTTGTTTCAAAGAGTATCTGAATACAGTAACGATGGAGGCTGAAAAACATCAAACTACTGGAAATGATTCTTTAAGCCAATGCAGAACTCATGGCTGTGGGTTCTTTGGAACGCCAGAAAGAAATTACCTGTGCAGCAGTTGTTTCAGAAAAGCAGGTGGGAAGGAGAGAACACGTAATGCCAGTGGGCCTCCTGGGTACTCTGCTCGGCAGAATCTGCTTGATAATGGAAGCAACAACAACAACAGCAACTCTGGTGCATTCAGTAATTCCACCGCCAACAAAAGTCAGGTTCAGGGAGTGGAACCCAGACCTGGAGGCCATACTAGCACTGCACATCCAGGAGCATCAGAACCTAACCGCTTGAACACTCGTACGATACCAGACATCTACATACCTGTCACCTCAGATGAATTGTTTGGAGAAGGACCTGAAAAAAACAGACCAACACTAAATATCAAAAGATCTTACAGCTCGCCATCAGGGTTTACTTTGATTGAGCGGGAATGCCAGAGGAAGTGTGGTCGGAAATGTGTGGCTCAATGCGAGCCCTACTGCATGAGTTGTTACGAAGATTTGAAACTTCAGCCACCGAGTATGATACAGCACTTTGAGCCATATTACCACAATGACGTTCGATTTGCAAGTAATCCTTCATTGTCCTCCCTACCAGGTGTATGTGAGTCGCCTGGGTGTGAGGAGCCTGTGTCGGGTTTGACTTACCCTCTTTGTCAAGGTTGCGGAGAGCAAGGTCAAGGAAGTAAAGCCAGGCCAAGTGCAGGGGCAGAAGATGCAGATGACAAGGACCCAGAATCAGTACCTCCTGGAGCCAACTCAAGGGAAGGTATGGGTACAGGGAGAGTACCTCTTTCAAATCATGCAGCACAACAAGGTATGTATGTCTTCAGTAGTTATCACACCAGTCACTTAGAAATGGCCAGGGTATTGATAAATAGAGGCTATGTGTCATTTGATTTTTGTGGCAGATTGTGTCCAAATATTAAAAACATCTTTTGTGAGTTTTCAAAGTGTTTCAGTTGGATGTTGAACCCATGTTTATATTGTGCTTATATATGGTGATAAGTAAGATGTCAAAAAGGCTCTTCTGTTCCATGTTAGACCATGATAAGTCAGAGGTTAAGGATGTTGATCTGTTCCATGTCAGACCATTATAAGACAGAGGTCAAGAAGGATGTTTTGCTCCATGTTCGAACATGTTGAGTCAGAGGTCAAGAAGATTGTTCCATTCCACGTTTGACTATTATCAGTGGAGCATCACGAAGATTGTTCTGTTCCATGTTAGACCATGTTGAGTCAGAGGTCAAGAAATTTCTTCTGTTCCATATTAAACCATGTTGAGTCAGAGGTCAAGAAATTTCTTCTGTTCCATATTAGACGATGATCAGTCAGAGGTCAAGAAGAGTGTTCTGTTCCATGTTAGACCATGTTGAGTCAGAGGTCAAGAAGATTGTCCTGTTCCATGTTAGACCATTATCAGATGGACGTCACAAAGATTGTTCTGTTCCATGTTAGACCATGATAAGTCAGAGGTCAAGAAGGTTGTCCTGTTCCATGTAAGACCATTATCAGTCAGAGGTCAAGAAGGTTGTCCTGTTCCATGTTAGACCATTATCAGTCAGAGGTCAAGAAGATTGTTCTGTTCCATGTTAGACCATGTTGAGTCTGAGGTCAAGAAGGTTGTCCTGTTCCATGTTAGACCATTATCAGATGGACGTCACAAAGATTGTTCTGTTCCATGTTAGACCATGATAAGTCAGAGGTCAAGAAGGTTGTCCTGTTCCATGTTAGACCATGTTGAGTCAGAGGTCAAGAAGGTTGTCCTGTTCCATGTTAGACCATTATCAGATAGAGGTCAAGAAGGTTGTTCTGTTCCATGTTAGACCATGATAAGTCAGAGGTCAAGAAGGTTGTCCTGTTCCATGTTAGACCATGTTGAGTCAGAGGTCAAGAAGGTTGTCCTGTTCCATGTTAGACCATGTTGAGTCAGAGGTCAAGAAGGTTGTCCTGTTCCATGTTAGACCATTATCAGATGGACGTCACAAAGATTGTTCTGTTCCATGTTAGACCATGATGAGTCAGAGGCCAAGAAGGTTGTCCTGTTCCATGTTAGACCATTATCAGATGGACGTCACAAAGAGTGTTCTGTTCCATGTTAGACCATGATAAGTCAGAGGTCAAGAAGGTTGTCCTGTTCCATGTTAGACCATGTTGAGTCAGAGGTCAAGAAGGTTGTCCTGTTCCATGTTAGACCATTATCAGTCAGAGGTCAAGAAGGTTGTCCTGTTCCATGTTAGACCATGTTGAGTCAGAGGTCAAGAAGGTTGTTCTGTTCCATGTTAGACCATGATGAGTCAGAGGTCAAGAAGGTTGTCCTGTTCCATGTTAGACCATTATCAGTCAGAGGTCAAGAAGGTTGTCCTGTTCAATGTTAGACCATATTGAGTCAGAGGTCAAGAAGGTTGTCCTGTTCCATGTTAGACCATTATCAGATGGACGTCACAAAGAGTGTTCTGTTCCATGTTAGACCATGATAAGTCAGAGGTCAAGAAGGTTGTCCTGTTCCATGTTCAGACAGATGTTGAAGATTGTTCTGTTCCATGTTAGACCATTATCAGTCAGAGGTCAAGAAGGTTGTCCTGTTCCATGTTAGACCATTATCAGTCAGAGGTCAAGAAGGTTGTCCTGTTCCATGTTAGACCATGTTCAGTCAGAGGTCAAGAAGGTTGTCCTGTTCCATGTTAGACCATGTTGAGTCAGAGGTCAAGAAGGTTGTTCTGTCCATATTAGACCATGTTGAGTCAGAGGTCAAGAAGGTTGTTCTGTTCCATGTTAGACCATTATCAGTCAGAGGTCAAGAAGGTTGTCCTGTTCCATGTTAGACCATGTTGAGTCAGAGGTCAAGAAGGTTGTTCTGTTCCATGTTAGACCTTGTTGAGTCAGAGGTCAAGAAGGTTGTTCTGTTCCATATTAGACCATGTTGAGTCAGAGGTCAAGAAGATTGTTCTGTTCCATGTTAGACCATGTTGAGTCAGAGGTCAAGAAGGTTGTCCTGTTCCATGTTAGACCATGATGAGTCAGAGGTCAAGAAGGTTGTTCTGTTCCATGTTAGACCATTATCAGTCAGAGGTCAAGAAGGTTGTCCTGTTCAATGTTAGACCATATTGAGTCAGAGGTCAAGAAGGTTGTCCTGTTCCATGTTAGACCATTATCAGATGGACGTCACAAAGATTGTTCTGTTCCATGTTAGACCATGATGAGTCAGAGGCCAAGAAGGTTGTCCTGTTCCATGTTAGACCATTATCAGATGGACGTCACAAAGATTGTTCTGTTCCATGTTAGACCATGATGAGTCAGAGGTCAAGAAAGATGTTCTGTTCCATGTTAGACCATGATGAGTCAGAGGTCAAGAAGGATGTTCTGTTCCAAGTCAGGTTAAAACGCGATATTGTCATTCTCAGCATTTATGGTACTGTTACTATAACCACGATAGTTGCATGTTTTTGGCAGGTTCTACCACCCAAAAGGGTAGACATTACTTGAAATGAGCAACTACGTATCATTATTCAGGTGAACAAGTTGATGGTCGGTTACCTGAAAAGAAGATGATATCTTTGAAACCTTTGTGCTTGATGCAGACTGACCTGTGTAGCATCCCATGTGATTATATCGTCTGTCTGTGGAATAAACGCAATATTGAGACAGGTGAGAAAAACATATTTCAAAGACAAATATATATTTTTTTCAAGAAGTGGCAAAGGGAAGCCAGGTTGTTATTTTTGCATATAGCACTATTTAGAGAACCGACCTTGAATTAATGTAAATTTGGTCATCGTTTTGTAAGCAGCAATATCTCCCAACAGTAAAACTACAGTCACTAAATCATTACTTATGTAAATGTATGAAGACAAATATGAAGTAGTTCATTCACCAAACACATGAATAACGTCAATCACTTGCTTAGGCTATAGTTTGTTTGCAGTGAAAACGTACCGATGAATTTCACTTTAAACAAAAAAGTAAATCAAATAAAGTGAAATTAAGATTGCGAATCCTCATTATTTTACCTTGCCAATTGAACATTTAAATCTCAAAATTTTATTCAAATTAGGATAAAAGTTGTTTAACAAAGGATCATAGATTCAAATCGCTATTACTGGTTTGCATTACAAAGGGGTAAGCGCAATAGTTGGAACAGTGAAACTAATGCATGTGCGTTAGGTGAAGAGCGTTAACTTATAACAACCCTTGTCGTTTTCGGTGTTTCATTTGATGTGCATACCCCCTTGTAATACAAACCAATAATAGCCATGTTAAACTATGATCGTTCGTTAAAAAACTTTAATCCTAAGTCGAATAAAATTCTGAGATTTAAATGTTCAATTGGCAAGGTAAAATCATGAGGATTTGCAATCTTCATTTCACTTTATTTGCTTCACTTTTTGGTTTAAAGTGACATTCATCGGTATGTTTTCACTGCAAACAGACTATAGTAATGACCATTTTATGATGCATCCCCTTCAGCCGCTCCGAACACATCCCTGCCACCACTCTCTGGGTGTAATGAAAATTGTTACAATGTGTAACCAGGTATCAAAGTGTCATTAGAGCAGAATCATTCACTCATTCTTCATATAGAGTAATTCATCAAGTCTATTTCAGGAAACCATCCATTGCTGGATAAGATTGGAGAAGTTACTCAGACCCGAGAAGTTTTTAGTAAGTACTATTAACCACAACTTATTATGTTTAAACAACACACTATTGTCTTCCCTTGTCAAGCTCCAAGTATACTTGGTTTTCAGCAACACATGCTTGTCATAAGAAGTGAGTAATTTTTAAACTTATCCTATCTCATGTTATGCGCTTTCTCTTCTACTATTGACAGTCCAGTGGGAACAACCTGAAATGATCTGTCCCTGGTTGATCATGTGACCACCATCTGTAGTCATTCCCTTACTTGGGGTGGTGGGGTAGCCTAGTGGTTAAAGCGTTCGCTTGTCATGCTGAAAACCCGGTGTAACAGGCCAAACTTTCCCTGAGGAAACTTTGGCCTAGGACAAACTTTCCCCCCCTAGGCTTAATCTTCCTCGGGGAAAGTTTGGCCTAGGCCAGATTCTCCCTGGAGAAAGTTTAGACCGGGGAAGAAATGGCCTGCTACACCGGGTTCGAATCCCCACATGGGTACAATGTGTGAAGCCCATTTCTGGTGTCCCCGCCATGATATTGCTGGAATATTGCTAAAAGTGGCATAAAAACATATACGCTTGCTCACTCACTCACTCACTCACTCACTCACTCACTCACTCACTCACTCACTCACTCACTCACTCACTCACTCACTCACTCACTCACTCACTCACTCACTCACTCACTCACTCACTCACTCACTCACTCACTCACTCACTCACTCACTTGTTGCACTGGAGTGTGGACATGTAACAAGTCGTGTTGATCCTTGTGCTTCATCCAATGATTGTTGTGCATGTTATTGGAGCCAGGTGTTCTGTGTATCAAACTGTGGACAACCACCAGTTCGCAGTATACAGGAAAACAGGCTCACTCAGAATTAAGAACAGGGATTCGAAATCTAATGATTTTGGGCCTTCTTCATGCAAAAAGCCTGAACAATCTACTTAGAGAGGTGACTGTACTTTAAAATCGCCTGTCATACAAACGCTCATGATTTTCTGGACACTCCGTCCCATTCATACCTCCGTCAGCTCTTCTGTCCTTTGGAAGTATCCACAGAATCAGTGACGCCTACACTGACAGAATTTGTTTCACTCTGTTCATTCCAACACATCTCTTAGCTCTTCTCAATCAATGAGTGTCAGGGCTGTGGTCGAAGAGTAAACGTTAATCCTTTTAATTCTTCCATCGTGCACAAGATCAACCTCTCTCTCAAGATATCTCAGACTTCAGACCTACCCACTCCCTGGCAGTTTGTGCTAAAGGGATTTTATGAAGCAAACCATCAACAGTGAGCGTACAGCCAACGTTCAGAGGATAAGACTGACTGACTGAGTTTGGTTTTACGCCGCTTTTAGCAATATTCCAGCAACATCACGGCGGGGGACACCAGAAATGGGCTTTACACATTGTACCCATGTGGGGATTCGAACCCGGGTCTTCGGCGTGTCGAGCCAACGCTTTAACCACTAGGCTACCCCACCGCCCCTCAGAGGATAAGAAGTCTAGGCCAATCTCCATGTGAATTTATCATCTCACAGTTGTCATCTTCCTACAGAAAATGTAATCTGCAACCCACCATCCAACCATGGGATAAGTTTAAAATGCAGACCTAATTATTTACAGACCGCCATCGTACAGCTGGAATATTGCTGAGTGTGGTGTTCAACAGCAAACAAACACAGTTCTGTCATTAGTTATTAAGAGTCAGTTTTACATGGAAATGGACAATATGAATATCATGCATCTACTAAATGTTTTGATTGGTTTACAGAAACATCTCTGTCCCACAACAAGGTGTTTGAGACAAGTGGAGGGCTGTCAAAGGCTGGTAGTGTGTTTCACTGTAAGTATGACCACGCTGTGGATGTCCAGGTAGCCAACGCCCTGCTCAGGTGTGTCAAGTGTGGAGAAGCGGAAGCCCGGAAGAAGTGCAGACAAAAGATTGTCGCACTGTTTCCAGTAGCGTATTTTGGTGTGTAGCCTTGTTTCATCTATCTCTCACTTTAATGACTCAGTTTCCTGAAAAGGAATTTCAACTTTTTATGAAACCACTCATGGTCATGTCCATATTAGTTGACTGTGAATTCTGAATGTCTGTCTGATTTTGACTAAACATTTCAGATTTTGTCATCTAATTTTCTTAACCAGTTAATAGTTGTTAGTGCCAGTGCAGCTTATGTTTCTCTGGGGGGACAGGGTCCCAGGTAGTCTGTCATACAGACCCTGAAACAAACATACCCATTGGAGCCCGTGCAAGTCTAGAATGTGGGGCAAGTCTAAAATGTGGGGCAAGTCTAGAATGTGGGGCAAGTCTAAAATGTGGGGCAAGTCTAGAATGTGGGGCAAGTCTAAAATGTGGGGCAAGTCTAGAATGTGGGGCAAGTCTTGATTACCATAGTTCAGAAAATGAAGAAAGTCGCTGGCTCCTTTTTATTGTATTGTATTTCAATTTAAAAATTAAGCGTTCGCTCGTCACGCCGAAGGCCCAGGTTCGAATCCCCACATTGGTACAATGTGTGAAGCCCATTTCTGGTGTCCCCCGCTGTGATATTGCTGGAAGATTGCTTAAAGCGGCGTAAAACCATACTCAGTCAGTCAGTCAGTCAATTTAAAAACTGCTTTTTTCTGTAAGATATGTTCATTTCAGAGACTATAGCTAGCTGTCCCAATCATGTCAGTTTAGGCCACAATCTATTCGCAGAGCTGCATCTCTTGTGCTCTGTACCAGGAATACCATTCAGACATTGTTTAAGCACAACTCACTCACATTTTCATTACAACAGTTAGATTTTAATGATTTAAATATTATATATCTCAGCATGATTTCATTACTCTCAAAACAGAGAAACTTTTGTCTGCTTGAAATATAAATAGCATCTATGTGATGCATTCTCTTTCAGAGGAAGTCCTCCTTGGGGTACATATAAGCATTAAAATGTCCATTTTAAAACCCACGACTGTTGTAACTATATTTATTAATAAAATATTTACAAAACAAAAAACACGTTTTTGTGTTGTGAGACCACCCCTACAGCCAAGAACAGGTAACTCTAACCATCTACCTCCCACCTCACTTTTCATGCTGAACGATCAGACAGAATGAGGGGAGGCTGGTGGCCGTACCCCAAGGTGGATTTTCTTCAAAGAATCAGTAACCTCTACAGATTTGTACGCGATTCTTTTTCGGAAGAAGTCCTCCTTGGGGTACATATAAGCATAAGACAGACTCCCAAAGATATCTGTGTTGTGAGATCACCCCTACAGGGCCCCACAGGGCCCCCTACAGCCAAGAGCAGGCAACTCTAGCCATCTACCTTGCACCTCACTTTTCATGCTGTCATTCTATTAGGAAGACGCATGTGGGTGTTCATTGCAAGTTTTTTATCTTCTACCTTTGAGATGAGTGACACAGAATCAGCTACTGTATGTATGGTTACTTTTTCTACGCACAGGCGCTTGTATGGTTACTTTTTCTACGCACAGGCGCTAGATGGAATTTATAGCTTGATTTTTTTCATTCATAAATTGTTGTCACTTTGCCGTACGGTCACCCACTTCCTACCGTGTGGCAGGCAATATGGCGGAGGTTGGGGGGTTGGTTCTGGGAGACCTCACCGCTTCCGGCCTTTGGTCCGAGAACGAGGTGACCCTGCACATCAATGTGCTAGAACTGAGAGCAGTCTGGTTGGTATTTGAACGCTTCTTGGAGCAGGTTCAGAGCCGAGTGGTTCGACTAGAAATGGACAACCAGACGGTCTTGTCCTACATCCTGAAGCAGGGCGGTACGGTGTCTCCGTCACTCCTTCAGCAGGCGTGGCAGTTCCTACTCTGGTGCTATCAGTTCGACATACGGGTTATGCCTGTTTATCTCCCGGGGCTAGACAACTTCCGTGCAGACGCGCTCTCACGACGTATACTAGCCCCTCATGAGTGGTGGCCTGACCGGGAGATATTTGGGATTATCTCCCAGTTGTTTGGGTCGTTCCAGGTGGATATGTTTGCCTCTGGGGTGACAAACTAGACGCCGGTGTTTTGGTCTCAGATTCCGAATCCGTGGGCTATCGCCCAACCAACGCTGGTTTCTGGTAATACTCAGGTTGCTAGTTCAGCCTCCTGTACTATCCTGTACAGAACAGCGCGCCACGACCGAATCCCAGGATTCAGTGGCTGGCATGGTCTTTGTCTGGAGTCACCTCCACGCGAGCGGAATTCCTGCACCAGTTGCTGACACAATTCTGGCTTCGCGAGAGGGATCCGACAAACGTTCAATACGAGGATAGATGGGCCTGTTATGCGCGCTGGTGTGGAAACAGGGATTCTTGATCCCTTTTCTTCGACTTTAGTGGAAGTACTGGAGTTTTTACAGTCTCAGTTAGAGGCTGGTTTAGCGGTGTCTACTATCTGAGGCTACTACATGGCAATATCTGCTTACCACACACTGGGCTCTCCTAGGGCAACACCCTCTGGTGTAGTGTTTCTTAGCAGGCGTGAACAGAATCCGTCCGGCCGTCCTGCGTACTAGTCCCCCATGTGACTTATCCCTCAGTTTAGATTGGATGTCCGGTTCTCTCTTTTACGATCTGTCGGCTCTATCCCTCCAGCTGTTAAGCTGGGAAGCAGCCTTCCTTGTGGCGATGACATCTGGTAGACGGGTTGGTGACATTCACGCAATGTCATCAGATCCAGAGCTTACCATTTATCACAAAGATCGGGTTAGCATTCACTTACCAGATTCTTACCCCCCCTAAGATCGCTAGCTCCTTTCATATAATGGCGCCTATCGATCTACCTGCTTTTACACACCCCCTATCGTCGGGAAACTCTAGTCTGTGTGCTCACGTCCTAGATGTTCGTAAGACGCTTAAGGCATATATAAGGCGTACAGCATCTATCCGTAAGGATAAACAGCTGTTTTTGCTGCTATGGCGACGGCAAGGCTGGTCATCCGGCTAACAAACAAACCATATCGAGATGGCTTGTTTCTGTTATATGTATGGGATACATACACAAAGGCTTAGCTCCCCCAGAGGGGTTAAAAGCTCATTCGGTTAGAGCAGTTGCCACCTCCAAGGCATACGCTGCTGCTCTGCCCATTGAGGAGATCTGCTCAGCAGCTATTTGGAGCCGACCGATATGTTCATCCATCATTATCAGCTGGACAGACACTCACGTGAGTGTGCTCAGTTTGGCCAGACAGTTCTCAACAGTGGACAGAGTAGTACCTCTCTGGCTGAGTGAGCTTTCGAGACTACATCCTCTGTATTTTACCTGGTGTCGGGTTTTTATCATTCTCCTTTTATCGGTGGCAGTATTTGGTGATGGTTCTTATTCCGGCTCTACTTTGGTATTTCGGTGTCTTGTACTTTACATGTACTTTCCACTTCACCACACTTTGCTGGCTGGGTGTTACTGGTAGTGGGTTGTTTCGGTGAGTCCCCATAGTATACTCCTCCAAACCTTGGGTTGGGGTGGGGTTATTTAAGTGCCATGACACTGTTAGCCAGTCAGATATAGGCTAAGACATTCCGGGTCCTGGCCCTAGCCATGCCCCCCGCCTTGATTGACATCGGCGGTCAGGTGACTAGGTAAGTGTAATTTTCTATCTCCGCTCGGTTGTAGAATGTTACTTCCAACGGATTGTTATGTCAGACAGAATGCCACTCCCGATTCAAATATCTTTGGGAGTCTGTCTTATGCTTATATGTACCCCAAGGAGGACTTCTTCTGAAAAAGAATTGTACAAACCTGTAGAGGTTACTGATTCTTTGAAGAAAATCCTCCTTGGGGTACGGCCACCAGCCTTCCCTCATTCTGTCTGATCGTTCAGCATGAAAAGTGCGGTGCGAGGTAGACGGTTAGAGTTACCTGCTCTTGGCTGTTGGCTGTAGGGGGCCTGAGGGGCCCTGTAGGGATGGTCTCACAACACAAAAACATGTTTATAGTTTTGTAAATAATTTATTAAAAAATATAGTTACAACTGTCCTGGGTTTTAAAATGGACATTTTAATGCTTATATGTACCCCAAGGAGGACTTTCTTCAAAGAATCAGTAACCTCTACAGGTTTGTACAAGTTTAGGGTGCTAACATTTACTTTTAATCCTATGCTCAGAGGACCTTCAAGGAGACCCAGGCATGTCAACGCGAGTGAGCATGTACGTCATTTCTTACATCCAGACCGTCACAGGCTACACACAGTTGCTCAGCAAGTTCTGGCTGTGTGTCGACTCAGCTGACACCAGCACCAAGTGTAAAGAAGAATACGTAAGAGTCAAGGAGAAGAAGAACAAAGATATACATAAAACCAGTCTTGCAGGTGAATAGTCTGATTAGTGGTATCTTGGTTACATGTGTGTTGATTATCTCCCCTAGTCTGCTCCTCTTAATGGATGTTAAGAGGATGTGTGAAATTATGTTCTAAGTGCACACAAATTCTGTAATGGAAAAGTAGTCAGAAGATTTGTTAGTTGTGCGAGTATGTACTAAGCACGTGATAAACCTTCTTAGCCCATGGTATTGTTAGAAATTAATTGACTGATGATTGGAATCTTGTGAGGCAAATGAGTTTGTTGACTGTAAGAGTCAGGTTTCACTCTTGCCAAACTAGTTCAGTATTTTGTGTTCAGTGAAACCCTGGCTGTAACTCAATACTTTATACATCCATCATGTCAATTTTCAGATATAACAGATCACCACATTTTTTACAATGGTGTCAATTTTCAGATATAACAGATCACCACATTTTTTACAATGGTGTCAATTTTCACATATAACAGATCACCACATTTTTTACAATGGTGTCAATTTTCACATATAACAGATCACCACATTTTTTACAATGGTGTCAATTTTCACATATAACAGATCACCACATTTTTTACAATGGTGTCAATTTTCACATATAACAGATCACCACATTTTTACAATGGTGTCAATTTTCACACATAACAGATCACCACATTTTTTACAATGGTGTAAATTTTCACATATAACAGATCACCACATTTTTTACAATGGTGTCAATTTTCAGATATAACAGATCACCACATTTTTTACAATGGTGTCAATTTTCAGATATAACAAATCACCACATTTTTTACAATGGTGTCAATTTTCACATGTAACAGATCACCACATTTTTTACAATGGTGTGCCACTTTGTCATTCAATCTTTCTCTGAAACATCTGCTTACAGGTTGTCACCAGTGCAAGAATTCTCCAGCAGGTAACTATGATTCTTGAACCAAACTTTAACATCCTCAGCTGATTCAAACAGGTAGCTATTTTTTGTATATAGACAAACTTTATGGATAGCAACTTCTATTTTTTGTGAGTATGATGTTTCGTTACAGATTCTTGTACTATTGTCAAGTAGGCATGATAACCATACAAGAATCTGTATCGAAACGTTGCACTGACGAAATAAAGAAGTTGTTACCCATAAAGGTTGTGTATATTGTACTTCCCAGCTTCTAGAATAAAAGAAGCTATTTTTATGACATCCAAGGTTGTCCTATTTGTTTATACTGACCTGTGACTAAAGGGTGATGTTGTCCTCATGTAGAAATGTGGTTATGTTTTCACTGTACTGTTATAACATTTGGTTTTCTTCTTTGTAGCAAAGCTGAAGCCCATCTCTGACACATGTGGAGATCATTGTGCAGTGTTTTGTATCCAGTGTCTGAAGATTGGACGACGTGACCGGCTACGCTGTCCCCGGCATGGCCTGTGTTTCTCACCAATAGGTAGGGACAGTTGCAGATTCATGGAATAACTACAGTTCAATGACCCCAAGGCCATATTTAACATGCTAAATAAATATCATTAAATCTGTTTGTATGTCAGGAGGGAGATTTTTTATATGACACAACTATATCAAACACACTGTTCATTTGTTTATTTTAATTCTTACAACTTTAACAAATGTTATTCTCAAAAAAATATGATAGGACTATGTACATGTTATATTTATAAAACCTGTGAAGATCTGAGTTTTAATTGGTCTTCAGCAATGCATGCTTGTTGTAAGTGGCATCTACCAGATTGGATTGGTCAGGCTCGCTGGCTTGGTTGACACATCATGGTATCCCAATTACATAAATTGATGCTCATGATGTTGATCACTGGATTGTCTGGTCCTGACTCGAATATTGACAGACTGCCAACATATAGCTGGAATATTGCTGAGTTTGGCGTTAAAAATAACAAACACACAAAAATATTTCATAAAGTACAGGTAGAGGGGAACACTGTCACTACGGCTATTTCATTCATGTTTATGAAGTTTGGGAAGATAAGATGCCGATGATGTATGGATGAAAAGTTAAAAGCTAATTAATTATTGCTATAAATGTGAAGTTATGTGAACAGCAGTGGACAATATTTGCTTGTAATGGCTCCGTAGCCCTTGACTACCATATCTAGTTAGGGCATCCAAAATATTTTGGCAAAAGCACAGATTTAGTTAATTAACTGCAATTTGAACAGTGGATCAGCTATTCCCATATATTCCCTTCGTTTATATAATATTAAAGAGAAATTTTTAACTCTTTTTCGTTGAAGTGTTATGTCTATATATTTTTAAGTCTACTCATGTTAGAAAACATGTTTTTCAGGTCATGAAAACACATATGCCATACTGGTGGCTGGACATGACAAGAATTCAAAAGTAGCCAAGATGTTTGTTAAGGATGTTGAATACATGAAAAGGGCATTACAGTGTGATGACATCATCGGAGTCAGGTGAGTCGTAGGTAGCCATGGTTACTCAAATATATCTTTAGTTGGTTTATGAGATCAGCTGATAAAACCCCTCAAATGAGAAACTAATTAGAAAATCAATAATAATAATAAATAGAGCTAGGTAGGTAGGTAGGTAGGTAGGTTTATTTAATTCCTCCAGATTTGGAGATACAAGATTAATTGAATATTAAAAGCTTAAGTTGTTAGCCACAAGTGTTGAAATGTTATGATATATATATTAGTCTTTAGAAAGTGAAACTGGACCAGTCGATCCCAGATGCAAACTGTCCAACCAGTAGCAGCAGTTGTATGGTGTCAATGTCATACGTGTGACGTCCGAGCAGCACTTCGGTCAGCGTTCTCTGTTCTATATTGTCTAACAGAACATATGTGTTTACACCGAATATGTCTAGAATATCCAGCCACATGGTTTCTCGTCTTGCGCTTACCACATTGTCAGTACAAAGGTGAAGAATGTGGTGTACAAGACCATGAACAATGCAGGAACACATTGGGCACTGTTCAGTTCTCACTGGGTGCGTGATAAGAGAGAGAGTAGCTTTAAGCCTCTCTCACCTGTGTGGGTGATGTCTACTCATGGTCCATATCAGATGTGGAATATAGACACTGTGATTGGTGAGGAACAGCGACATGCTTGCATCAGTCTCCATCCGGGACACGAGTTCATCAGTTTCCGTTTTGAAAACTCAGTCAGTCAGTCTTACACAAACTTGATCTGGGTTTCATGTTTATTGTCAGTTATCAAAAGAGCTTGAACTACTTCATATAAACTATACTGTCATTTGGGAAATGACTTCAAAAGAGACAATTCAAGGAGAACAAGACTACTGCAATAGTATTGCAATAGTTGGTCGCAATAGTATGTTGCAATAGACTATCGCCATCGCAGTAGTTATTTCCCCCTCAATTGTCACCCCTAATAATAAACATACATACTGCTCTCTGCTTTTTAACATGAGGTGAATGGAAGACTCTCAAGATTTTATCGTCGTTGTTTCAAATTGTGAACAATACATATTAAAATATGCATCCTAACAAAAAAGCAGACAGTTATCTTCTGTTATCTTGTCATGATCAAACTGTTTTTATAATTAGTAGCAGTGCTTATCGGTAAGTTTGGTAAGGCAAACAATTTATAAACCAAATTAAGAAGAAATTTAGGGCCTTACCTTTTGTTTATTACTGTTGTGCAGTAACCTAGGAAATAACAGCCAGTGATGAGTTTGGAAGTTTACTTTTAAAGTGTTCATGTTTCCTACAACATTTGACAGGTGTTTCATGTATTTTGAGGGGAAGTGGGGTAGCCTAGTGGTTAAAGCGTTGGCTCGTCACGCCGAAGACCCGGGTTCGAATCCCAACATGGGTACATCGTGTGAAGCCCATTTCTGGTGTCCCCCGCCGTGATAATGCTGGAATATTGCTAAAAGCGGCGTAAAACCAAACTCACTCACTCACTCACTCATGTATTTTGAATACCATATATGACCGTAGATAAGCCGAGGTCTTAACTTGACCCTTAAAATCTGCATCAAAATGGCATGTTCCGTACATAAGCCAAGGTACCCATGAAGATCCGGGTTAGAATTGATCTTCAGTAACCCATACCTGTCGTAAGAGGCGACTAACGGGATCGGGTGGTCAGGCTCACTGCTTTGGTTGAGTCATGTCATTGTATTCCAGTTACGTAGATCTATGCTCATGCTGTTGATTACTGGATTGTCTTGTCTCGATTATTTACAGACTGCCCCATATAGCTGGAATATTGCTGAGTGAGGTGTAAAACTAAACTCACTCATTCACTCAAACTCACATAAGCTGAACCAACCTTCATTCAACTTCTCGTCGGGATCAGTCTGCGGAAATAGTATCAACCAATCCATATTGAATTATGCTATTAAATCCTGTTGTTACACTATCTAGTGCCGGTATTTGTCAACATACTTGTTACATATACTGATGACCTATTCAAGGCAGTGATCAGTGATTCTCAATTTTAATTGGCAAGATTCTCAGAATATCAAAATAATGCTACATACCAGGGGGAATTCTGGTTAGAATTGGTCCCTAGCAACCTACACTGGTCATATAAGGATTCTCAATGGACCGTGACTGGTGACTTTGTTGATGGTGTGTCAGTCAGGGCCCCGTTCCTGAAAGCGATCGTAGCACTACGACTGTCGTAAGTCTATGTTAAAGTTTGGGAGTTACGATCATCTTAGCCCTACGATCGCTTTGAGGAACGGGGCCCTGGACCAGAGAATCCAGTGATCATGAGCATTGATCTCCCAATTGACGTATGTCAACCAAGTCGGCAAATCGGACCACTGGAGCTCATGAGTGACATCTTACGACAAGCATGGGTTGCTGAAGACCAATTCTAATGTGGATCTTCAACAGTTTAACAATTGGGCCTGCCAGTACACTCCAAAAGTGCACTGTAAGAAATGAAACATTCCTGTATCTACTAGTATATGATGTATCAACTGTATTGTTTTGTCCGCAGGAACGAGAACATCCAAGTAGTAACCCCTGGTACAGAAAGAACCATGTACGAAAGAGTGATTAACGCCTTTTCTGATCTGCAAAGAAAGATCCAACAGAAGAAGGGTCCATCTTTCTTCTGTTTCTTCTACTCTGGGCACAATGACAAGAAGTCGCTAAAATTGGGGAAAAATAATGACTCAATCACACCAAAGAGATTGAAACAACAGCTCAACAATTTGGACGTGGAGAAGATTGTGATCATTCTGGATTGTTGCTACAGCGCAGGAGCAGACTTGACTGTTGAGGTTGATGAAGAGGATTTCTCATTGTCAATAGGTAGCTGCGCAAAAGATGACACTGAACCGGAAATATATGTCCCCAAATTGTGGAATCTGGACTGAAATACAGGAGGACTCAGGATCCAAAGGAGGAGACACCTGTACGTACCAGTGGTCGTCATCCACAAGTGACGAGAAGTCTTTCCATGACTATGAACATAGCTTCTTTACTTTTAGCATTGTGAAAGCATTGAATGCAAAGTGTCCCCTTGAGAAAGAACGTTGTGGGCAGTGTCAACAGTTCAGACGAGAAGTCATGAGAGCGGATGGTGTTTTCTTGAAGACGATTCATGAAAGTGTGGATTATCACGTTCAGATGCTGGCACAGAAAAAGACCAGACAGCAACATCCCCAGCTTGAGAGCAGCCATGATGACGTGCTCCTTGCATTCCATCATTTCTACACTTGATGCCATTTACGATTTAAACGGAAACTGTTCATGGCCACATTCTAGTGATTCTAGTGATAGGACCACCGTAAGTCAAAGCTGAAATATGGGAATTACTGGGGTGGCTAAATTAGATTCATGAAACAGTTCCTTAGCTCTAATTCATTGGCACTGAAGGTCAGTATTCTTAAAGGGGCTCCATCTAATGGAGTTCAGTGTGGGTCTTGGTCCTGATGATGTAAATGGGGACAAATGGAGTATCTTTTTGATTGATATACATCAGTAACAGCTTTCGAAATACCTGCCTACCCGACCGCCTGGGACAGGTTATTTTCAACACGGACTGCCAGATTCTCAAATTCACCTGCCCGGTTGGGTTAATTTGTAGACATGTAAATATTTTGTGGGCAGGTAAGTTTTGGTCAGGGCTGGCAAGTTTTACATCTATCCAGCCCTGTGGTCTGGCTGAAATTTTTGGGAGTTTCATACCCTGTCGTTAAAGGTGACTTGTCTGAATCAGCTATCAAGAGATGTGCCACAACTTACATCAAGGTGCAGGTCGTCAGCAAGGGGGCCGGTGGGGTAGCCTAGTGGTTAAAGCGTTGGCTCGTCACGCCGAAGACCAGGTTTAATTCCCCACAGGGGTACAATATGTGAAGCCCATTTCTGGTGTCCCCCGCCATGATATTCTGGAATATTGCTAAAAGCGGCGTAAAACCATTTCTTCCTAAGTCCCTATTTTGCTAACAGTAGTAAGCAGTATCTTAAATCGTGAGAAGCACATGTAACCAGCTTCAATGAGCGAGAAAAGTCTGGTCATTTGATTATAATACCATGGGAACTGATGTCTCAGTTCCATGGTAGAGATGTCTCCAAGGGGAGATTACTTGATCTCACCAATGAAGTATATCTTGTGGAAGCCAGTGTTAGGTGATATATATATATATTTATGTACAAACATAGTCAATAATGACTCAGCCAGTAAAATCATAAAACAGTTTAGATATAAGACTTTATATTGCCTTTCTGTGTACAGTGACATATATGATTGATAGAGAAAATTCTATTGTAGTTATTTTGTTTGTGTGGGAGATTTATATTTTTGACACCAACAAGGATTATTATTAGACCTGATGATTGGGCCAGAACAAGCCCTGAAACGTTGTACTCGAGAATAAAAAGAAGATGTAACCCAGAAAAAATCTCTATGTTCATCAAATATCATCTTTTAAAATGCCAATCAAGCATCTAAGGATTATTATTATTATGGGATATTTATATAGCACACATATCCACGCAACTAGTGCATGCTCAAGGTGCACACAAGGGTAAAGTGTGTGTACAGTTAATGGTGCTATACTTTGTGGGTCTGTTTGGGAATGTATTCATGGAGTGTTGCACCTCGTCAAGGAAGGCAGTGGACAATGGAACCCCCTGATCAGACATGGGTTATGTTTGTCAGTCAGTGAAAACAATGCCAGCTAAGGACTACGAGGTCGAACCACACTTCTGAATATGCCAAGGTTGTTTATTTTATGGCATTATGACCAGACATACCTTTTGCAATGATTTTCTTACTTGAATGTCTGCAAGCAGAAACTGTTTGGATAACCATGTTTAAGAGTTTAAAAACGTTTGTGACATAGTCCTTAGAATTAACTGCATAATCATTTGTTATCCTAAAACAGTCTGAGAGTATTTAAGCATGTAGACTACTTACATATATTGTGCAATGTAGTTTCTGTTGCTGTATGTGATGAATTTCATTATATCTTGAAAAGATATATATTTTTTGTTTCTGTTCTTTTGTGTATTATGATGATTATGTATATTGTTTACTTTCTGAGAATAGTATTACTGCTCCTTTTACTGGCAGGTGCTTGCTGCTTATGAATGACTTACTTAAGCAAATCTGTATTCAATGCATTTATCTGCAGTCAAACTGCTATACTGTACCTCCTGTCCGTAGTCGAGAGTTGTTTTGTGTAACACTGCGCTTTCTGCTCTGTTGGGTGATCACGTGAGAAAGGATATCCTAATCATACTAAAGCGATATCGCTACTTCTGAACTCATTGTCATGTGATCTTGGGCGCCGGGGTAGCCTAGTGGTTAAAGTGTTCGCTCGTCACATTGAAGACATGGTTTCGATTCCCCACATGGGTACAATGTGTGAAGCCCGTTTCTGTTGTCAACTGCCATGATATTGCGGTAGTATTGCTAAAAGCAGCATACGATCATATTCACTCACTCAATAATTACCAGCTGGTTATTGACAGAATCAGAATCAGAATATAGGAGCCAAATGAAGTGCAGAAAAGATCAGAGATATGGTGTCTACTCAGACCAGGAACAGTCAGAATTACCAGTCATTTCACAGACCAGGTCATGGACTGTCAGGGATTATACCATATGTTAAACATGTTACATAATGATAATATGATGTGTGTTATATAATGATGTAGTTGATTATGAAAAATCAAACTGGGCATTTACCATATGATATATATTATCATACTAGTATTTATGAAACATATAGATTTCTGTGCAATCAAAGGGCATTGTATGTATGCTGATCTGTCAGAACAGTCCTACATGATCTATACAAGGTACGTTCCAGAAGATTTTTTAAACAAATATTTGTACTGATACGTTCTGTTTTCACTCGTGCACGATGTCTAATGAAAATTATGTCTATAGTTTATGTGAAATTTATCACATATATTCTTGAATCATTAATCAATCATGTATCATTTGTTCTCGGGAATTATTGTTAACCTTTCTGTCATCCTGTTGTTCAGGGGTTATGATATATAATAAGGTTTGGGTAAGTGTTAAAGACTATAGACTTAAGCTATGTCAGCATAATATGCCTTCCTCAAACTACAAAGTGAGACAAACGTTAATATTGTGGGTAATTTCACATTCAGAACAGAATGAAAACCACAAAAATACATTAACAAGAAATGATGACTTATTATTTCAGTTTTAGAATGAACAATCATTTTGTATGATGTCTTTCAGTGGCATTTAGAAGTTGTACATTGATGTCCAAGATATTTTTATGGATTAAACTTCTTTGTAATTTCTCTGACGACGTTTCGAGACCATTCCATTGAGTTTCACCTGATGAAGGGACCTGGAATGGTCTCGAAACGTCGTCAGAGAAATTACAAAGAAGTTTAATCCATAAAAATGGAACCTGGAATGGTCTCGAAACGTCGTGAGAGAAATTACAAAGAAGTTTAATCCATAAAAATATCTTGGAAATCATTTTGTAGCTTAAAATCTGAACATATGGTTTAGTTTGTGGTTAATAATTAGATAATTTTCCAAATAAAAGGTTGCTATATAAAATACCTTACTTGTACTGTAAATGAGTTGACATTGACACTGTCTGTCCTCGCTGATGTCATGATGTTTCTGCTGTATAAACATAATAAACAAATTACTGTTGAGAGTGATGTTTAATCTGTTTCACATTTACCTTGTCATTCACTCATTCGTTCAGCCGTTTTTCTATGCATCCTTTCCGCAATACCATATGTTTGGTCCCACGTGTAAATACCACACAAACCCACTTTGTGAACCTCATTGTCAGCAATATATCCGTGCTTTAAAACTGGATCAACATGGTCAACTGCAGCTTGTCACTTTTGGTTTACCAATGACATTTTTATTTTTATTCAATTGTTTACAGATCTGCTGACCATTAATTAAAATCAAGAAAGCAGAGACAAAATATCTGAAAATCCCATTTAGCAATAATGTATATCACAAATTGTTTTCATGCATGTCTCTAGACAATATGTTGAGCTCACCTTGTCCATGTTTAAATAATTGGTCAAGTCCCGCTGTACAAAGCAATCTTATCACAACATGTGTGATAAGCCTACATGAAAGTATGTGAGTTGTGATCCCCTTAGTCTAAGATAGATTTTGCAATGGGGCCCTTGATCTTGGCCACCGTGACTGAAATGTAATTTGTTCATTTTTTATGCCCTCTGAATAATATTTTCACAAATGTCAGAAAACAACAATCCACCATGTTTGTTATAGTGTGTTTTATATACTGCTATTTACATATATAGGTTTCTAAAGAAAAGAACCTAAACCAACTAATATGAATAAGAAGGACTTTTTCAACCACCATTTTAAGGCAGCAGACCATTATTACTTGATTTTGAATGCTGTTTTCGCAATGGATGTGATATCATAACAAAAATGGCCAATGTATGTTGCAACAGTTCCATGTACAAGTTATAATGCTTTAAACATTACCTTCCACTACACTGGCACAGAAAACAAACATGTCTTCAAGATACAATTCGAGTGTTGAAGTCTTAGATGTGCACCACCTCCCTGGTGGAGGGTCTGCCTGGAGAGTGTAATGTCTCTGGTCCAGTCCCCTAAGAACATCAAGATGGTACTTGTAGTTACCCTGCCTGCAACTGGCAATAAGGATGTGATGTCAGAGTGGGGTTTTCATGTTAACCTGTGGCATGGTATATCAGTGTGCTTACACGACAAAACTCACATTTAATAGTCTTGTACACTCAGCAATGCTTACAGCTTTATAAGTACTATAGTCTTGAATGTGACATTTCAAAAGTCACCTTTCCTTGTCTGTCTTGTTAGCTCTCCTTTTCAGCTTTATGATGTCATTGGTCAGGGGAGATAATCTGTTATGTCTTGTTGAAGGAGCAAGTAATTATTTAATCACCTTCATGCTGTAGGGTCAGGTGAAAATTTTCAGTCATTTTCCTACACAGATTAGCTGGGTGTTATTGTTTAATCATCTTCCTAAGAGGATGTTGTTTATGTGTTGAAGATTGCTATTTGATAAACTTAATTAAGTGCATCTGATGCCCCAAACTTTTGTTTCTTTGAGCTTCATGACCACAGCCTTGTATACCCAGTTGCATACATGCATGCTAATGATGTCAATCACTGGATTGTCTGGTCCAGAGGTGATTATTTACATACAACCTTGGAATATTGCTCAGTGAGGCAATAAACAACAAACAATAACTGGTGTCTTCAAAAGTTACTTGAAAACATTGGAAATATGCAAGGTTATTTTTGTATGTTTGTACTGTAACTGCCTTTCAAGCTGAATAAAAATGCAACAAAACATGAGTACCTTTTCTTTGTCTCAGGCCACTTCATCACAGACAATGCTCTGTTGCTTGACAACGGAAGAGTTTGTGCTCTATACCAGTGTAGGAAAGATGTAGAAAATCTAGCCTGTCCACAGGACTGGCAGGTCAAATTTTTTACCAGTCCTGCCAAAACCTAGCCTGTCCTCCAAATATAAATAAAACACCTTCGGCAGTGTAAATATTCAAAAAGGTTATAATCATTATATATATGTCATTGGTTTGCTAAAATTGACCCGACATGAGGACGGACTAGATATTTTTTTAACCCGTCCTCCACAAAATTCACCCGTCTCGGAAGTTGGGACGGGCTATCTTTCCTACACTGTCTATACCTTCAATGACAAGACCTTCCTCTACTATAGTCCGTTTGGCTCAAAAGCGGACCGATGAATTGCAATCTCGAAAACTTATAAACATAAAATACTCAATGAAACACTGATCACAATGAAAACGTCAGACCAACTCTGAGAGGTGTTTGCAGAATTTATGTCCTAAAAATAAAAAAGTTGCTTAACAAACTATCATTAAAATATCGACACAGTTCACTATTTGTTACGAGGGAGGAGTGCAGAGAAAGGGACAGCCCGGTGTGCGAGAAAGGATGGAGACGGGCACAGCACAGGTTAATGAATCAATAACTTTGTCGGCACTTGTGCACGTGCTTCTCTAACACCTGGCTGTCCCTTTCTCTGCACTCCTCCCTCGTAACAAATAGTGAACTGTGTCAATATTTTAATGATAGTTTGTTAAACAACTTTTTAAATTTTAGGACATAAATTCAGCAAACAAATCACAGAGTTGGTCTGATATTTTGATTATGATCAGCGTTTCATTGAGTATTATATGTTTATTAGTTTTTGAGTTAGATTGCAATTTATCTGTCCGCTTTTGAGCCAAACGCACTATAGTGAGAGTAGAACAAAGCCCTTCACTGGACTTGAAATGTGAAGATCTGGGTTAGAAATGATATTCAGCAACCCATGCTTCAGGTAACCCTCTTTCAGGTAACTGACTGGATTGAATGGTCAGCCTCGCTGATACGGCTGATGCCCGTCATGGTAGTCACTGGGTTGTTTGTCTAGATGTGATTATTAACAGCCTGCTGACATTGAGCTGTAATATTGGTTAGTGTGGTGTTATACTACCAACACTCGATTCTGGGCCTCGTGTCCAGTACACATTATGCTATTGCGATGGCTGTGTGGGTTAGATGGTTGACTTGATGTGCTTGTGATTATGTGCCTGACTCTGAGAGTGTGGGTTCGAATCCCAGGTTGGACTCAACCCAACAAAAGTGCTAGAATCTGTACTTTACTGAGAAAGTGTAATCCCAAATACGACGTTTTACCAAACTGGTGCTTATAATGGTTGGGATAGTACATGGATGCTTGGTAAAAGCTTGTCTCTTTGCAATTTAGTATTTTGACTTATACCGTACATTCCCAAATTGTTTCAGGTGAACAATTGACTCGACTAAGCATATGTTTATGATGGGTGCCAACGGTGGGGCAGGATACACTCACCCTTTCTCGAACACCTGGTATGAACACTATGTCATAGTGATTCATAAACACAAGCTCTGTCATTGTATCGCTTGGTGACAACCACTGTATTGTCTGGTCCAGACTCGATTTATTTACAAATAACATTGTACAGCTGTAATACTGTGACACAAATATATCTTCATGATATTGTCACAATTGTACAATCGACTCTGCTTTTAGCAGAGATTTCTTATGGATGTGGAAAGGGTTTTGTCACTTCTATCTACCTTGAGGACTGTTTTGGACCAGTGACTGGTTTGTCTTGTCCAGAGGTATAGATGTCCTGTCCCTACACAATGTTATCTCCCTGTACCTGATCAAAAGGCAACTGTGCCTACAAATCTGCAACTCTCCACAGCCAACTGCAGACTTTACCCACCTGGATCAATCCTTTGTTTGGAAGGGTAATTGGGTGTAACATAAGTGGAAAACAGTTTCACATTCAGTAATGTTTCATATATTTATACAATTATATTTACATTCAGCATTGATCAAAGCATTGTAAAAAGGTACTGCCATACAAGGCATTTGACAGTATTTTGAAAATAAGAACATAAAAGAAAACGTCTCCAATCCTCTCCACTTTCTTTTATAAACCTTTTTACAATGTCCATACTCAGGATAAACACATCCCAGACCTGTGTAGTCATAGCAACAGACTCAGTCTGAGGACATGATTGGCTGTTGTTACTGGTGATATCCTCCATGTTTCTGTCTTCTTGACTAGTTGGAATATTATCCCTGATACTTATTTCAAGTACATTACCCTCAAATGCATCAGGAAGCACAGTACTTTACAAGACAATAGAATGTGCAGACATACTCTCTAATACACTAGTCCTTTACATGTGGTTCAACCCTGCCTCATTTTGAATATGACCTTGACCGTATTAATAAGGCAGAGGTGAATACAGTCATGATGTCCGAGGGCTTTATCAACATTGGTTCTTTGATATTCTCAAGATTCTGGTCAACATAAACACTGACTAACACAATGTTCTATGCAGTCTGTTGGATTCATAACAAGCAGTAGTCTCTTACAAAAATATGGATCATTTCTTCCAACAGGCATGCAAGTATGACAGCAGCATATAGATAGGAAACACAGATCATAAGGAGAAGGATGATGATAGCAGACTGGACTCCGCTCTGTACTTTCCTAGGTGTTCACGGTCCACACTACTGAATAATCAGTTTGAATATCAACCATTCATCATGGACGGTGAAATGTTTCTTGTGCAGGCAGTATATTGTTTTATGACTCATCCTTAATTCATTCTCCATATTGCATCCGTCAAGATGTTTGTCATATCCTTGATTGTGGCTAGGGAGACTCTGGGCACAGATGAAAATTGTTGCAGAACTTCTGCAGGTAAAAGAGGTCATGGCTCTGTTGATGTTGATGGAACATCTTCAACTTACACCAGCCAATCAGTTGGAGAACCATCATATATGTTGTTGTCACTCTGTTTTAAATTCAATTTGTGTGCCTGACACTTTCAGCGACTTATTCCCACAGTCAAATTCTTCCTCTTTATATATTCTCATGAGCACATTTTCCTGAGGTTTATTGTTTGCCCTTGAGAAGACCTTGACCATCACAATGACAGTGACCTTCAGTTGAAGCCTTGATGGACACCATTAGGTCGCAGACTTCTCATCTGAGGACAAAAAGATCATTTGTTTTCTTAAGCATGTTTAAACAGAAAAGTAAATGATGTAAGACTTCATGAAGATTTCTAAAGGAACATCTGATTCAGTTCTTAACGTAAGGCCTAAAAGATAAACAGTTCATGATTGGTTCCTTTTACCTGCCAATATGGTAAGAAGCTATAAGCTTTTGTTTCGTAAATTACGTCAAAAGTTCAATAGACAAGATGTGGGTTAGGCAAACATGTATCCTAAATGTCAGATATTCAGAAACAAGATGCATCAACTTAGATGAAAGTAATTGCAAGCACACACAATTGTCTAGACTTCTAAGCGTAGGCTCGTCACGCCGAAGACCCGGGTTCGAATCCCCACATGGGTACAATTCTTGAAGCCCATTTCTGGTGTCCCCCGCCGTGATGTTGCTGGAATATTGCTAAAAAGCGGCGTAAAACCAAATTCAGTCAGTCAGTCTAGACTTCTCAGGTACACTGTCCCTAGGATGCATGAACATTTCCGAGGAACAAGTGGTGTTATTGTCTACATTCCAACTTCTTTGAGATGTTTAATACATGCTGATCTAAAAATATGACATAAAAATAAACACTAAGAAACACAAAGATATCTTAATAAGGACACAATACTATGAGAAAGAGAACTGATTCAACACTGCTTTCAGCAAAAACACCAAGTGAAACACAAAATGGGCTTCACTCATTGAACACACGTGGGAAATCAAACCTGTGTCCTGAGATGGACAAGCAAACTCCTGAATCACCAGGCTACCCCAGAAATACTATGGATAACAATTATCCTTCATGTCATGTAAAAACACGTAAGTTAAGGGGCAATTCTCGGAGCTGATGAAGGGGAAGGAAGTAGCCCCGAATCCTTGTGTATAGAATGTTTCAGAAGACAGAAATTGTTATCAATAATATTCTTTGTAATAGGGACCCTAATATTTCACTGGTTATTATACACAACAATCTTTTCAAACAGTGAAACAGATTTCATGCGAATAAGCATCACAGAACCAAATAGGCCCAGTGAAACATTTCCTTTGCTCATTCAATTCAGAAACCAAAACTAGCTCCTGGTGCACATGCAAAACTAGGATTAGACCAGGCCGGGTGTCAACAGACTCTGTGCAGAACATCAACTTAATGCACAAAACAAAAAAGGTGGGTGGAGGTGGGGTGGGGTTTGGGTTAGTGCCAAGTTCAAAACTGTAGTACTCAATGGCAACATGGATGCATGGGTACGCGTTTGCTTGCTTGTATCAGTCTACTGCCAGTTTAATCGTCCTAGCCCCATGAGATAACAATGGACAGCTCATGCAGACAAAGTATCCTGGCTCTAAGTCTACTGCCAGTTCTTGCCTTATCTCGAATGCTAGGCAGGGATACAACAAGTAACATCTTCCACCATATTTTGATGGGACACCACCGACCTTTAGCTCTCCAGGCTGCTTTCAACAATGTGTCAGTCATATCACAGTCGACTTACCATTGGATGCAGCTCATCTACAGCTTTGGTCAACAATAAGCACAGCAATGGAAGCTGACAATACCATACACAGCAAGTTTTTGTTACATCTATGAAGTATCTATTGGTTGGCTGGTTGTTTAACACAGCACTCAGCAATATTCCAGCTATTCGGCAGTGGTCTGTAAATAAACGAGTCTGGACTAGACAATCCAGTGATCAACAGTATGAGCATTGATCTACGCAATTGAGATACGATGACGTGCCAACCAAGTCAGCAAGCCTGACCACCCAATCCCATCAGTCGCCTCTTACAACAAGCATGAGTTACTGAAGACCAATTCTAACCCGGATCTTCGCGGGTTGACGCATCTATTAAATCTATGATGCAGACATAACAATGTGTGACAGGTATCCAAAACCAACGTGCACCAACACAAGCCCAGGAGCCATACACAGAAATACTTACACTTGTCAGTTAAACTGTTGAAATAATAACATTGTATAACATCATCATTGGTATTCGGCTGAATTGTTATATTTGTAGCTTAAAGGCACAATGTCACACTTTTTCGACAATATTTAGGCCTATAATGTATATTGGGTCATATGCACTTTTTTTAGCTTCCTATTGATACAGTAAAAGACTTATTATCCCTTATGACTTGCCTGAATTCGATAATTGAAACTTCAAGGCGAACAGCTTCCAAACAGATAACACTTGCCATATATGGAATGTAAACTATTGCGCCGTACATCAAAAACTGTCGCACGTGGCATTGTCGGTGTTTGCCGAACTGGCCTCAATCACAAGTTGTGTTACAGGATAATCGTAAAGTGCATTCCAAGGGACAAGACTCTATGGGGTTCACTTGAAAATAAGTTCAGTCAGTAGAGGGCACGAGAGTCGATTTAATGCAATGTTACATTCATTCATTCAAAACTGTTAAATTTCATATTGTAATCTTAAAAGTAATTTTTGGGGGGAATAAATTATATGGTAGCTTCGCTGGGGGGTGACAGATTTAATGATAGAAAAGCAATATTGATTTTTAGAGACGTGTAATGTGATAGTGTGCCTTTAAAGCTGAATTCAGCAATATTACAGCTATATGATGTCAGTCTGTACATAATCAAGTCTCAAATCTGACATTAGAGACACATCATGTGCATTGATCAAGGCAATTTCAATACAGTGACATTAATTAACCAAGTCAGCGTGCCTGAACACCCAATGCTGATTGTCACCTCTTACAACAAGCATGGGTCGCTGAAGACCAGCGGATCTTAACTGGGTGATTTATCATGTAGGAATACAATACAAGATTTGTACAGAATGAATGTGTGAGTGAGATTCTTATCAGCAGTATTCCAGCTGTATGCAAAGTCATATCTCATAACCCTGGACTGAGTTAATCTATTAGCGACACAACTAATTATTGAGAGGTGACAGTGAAGATGACTTCTTTTGAAAACCTGGAAATGTTGTCATCATTTAAGTCAGCTCGTATAAGCTTCAGTTTCTGACCACCTATTCTGCCCTGAACGTCCCCATGGGTTTGGAAGATTAGTTATTACTGACCTAACTAACCTTGACAAATTTTGTTTTGTTTGTTGTTTAAGGCTGCACTCAGCAATATTCCAGCTATATGACAGCGGCCTATAAATAATCGAGCCTGGACAAGACAATCCAGTGATCAACATCATGAGCACTGATCTTTGGCTACAAGGCCATGTGTTAACAAGTCAGCAGGCACCTGATCCTGTTAGTAACCTTTTGTGACAAGCATGGGTTGCTGACGACCAATTCTAACCCAGATCTTCAGGGGTCACCCCAACTCATCCTGGTATAAACTGTCTACCAACTGGGATGTCTGACAATTGGGAGGTTACTGGTTAGAAACAAACTGAACACCCACCAATGGTCCAGAAGAGCGAGTGATGCGTGTCCGGTCATCTAATTTCTGGTTGGTCAGTTCTGATGTTACGGATGACCGTCTTGGTGGTATAATTCCAGAAGCGATCAGTGGAGGTGTGGAGGTTACCATGTGCCGATTCACTGTCTTTAACACTGGACCCGTCCTGAAAGATTGATAGGAACTGATGCTGTCAACAAGGAAGAAGAAAGCTGTCAATGGTTTATCTTCTGGTTTTTTAAATTCAAAACAGCAAAAGTAAATATTCTAAGTGATACATTTGGACAAGTTCATTTCTTAAGAAACTTTTGATATTGAGGTTACAATTTTAACATTAGTCAGATATGCACATTCCCTCTTTAAGTTTGCCATCATCAGATATCAAGGACATTTTACTTTTATTAGCCACTTTCAATTTGAAAATGTCTGAAAATTGGTGAAAGATTTTGTGTCCTTTTCTGTCAGACTGATCTACTCTCATACTTCCGCAGTTTCAGGAAAGTTGAGAAAATAATGGCAACTAATAAAACCATTTAACAGCACCAGCATTGTCTAACTATCACATTATACTTGAATTCCTCTGCAGTGTATTAAAGGGTTACAACACATGCAATAAAGATGGACTTGTCTCAGATATATAGCTCCTTTCAGAAATTAAACTTAAACGTTGGGTATTTAACTTTAAGAAATTGTTGAACTCCTGCATAATTTATTAGAACAGAACTCCCTTTAGTCTTAACTGATGATCTACTCCTGTAAAACACGCATGTAAAATGTTACAGCAACAACAGCCTAACTATCGGAGACAAGTCCCCCTTTAAGTGTAGGCGCCAGTGTACCTGACAGGCTTTCTGAACACAGGTGGAGGGAGTGGGAATGTGAGGGGGTTAGATACATGGTCAAGCTGGTAGGGGTTGCGGCGTGATGACACAGGGAAGGTACGAATGGGAGTCGCAACATCGCCTGCTTCAGAGTCACTGTCATCGGAGGAGCTACAAGGGAAGGTTAGTGTTTCAACAACCAATCACCATCTAGTATCAAATAACATGCACCTTCTAACTTGACCTTGTGCAACTTGTTTCAAACCAGATCCATGTTTACTTGACAAGAATTTGTCATTTGACAGTTCTGATATAAAACTATTGTAAGATATCATCAGTACAAAGCTGCGTTAAAGAAACAGCTTAACTATAATAAAAAGAAAGAATTCAAATAACTTCATTTGAATAAAACATTTATAAATATAAACAAGCAGGGTTTTTCAGGTGAAACTGAGCAGCAAAAGATCTTGTTGGCATAAAGGAGTTTTGACAAGGACAAATACCTGGATTCTGCTATTTGTGAGTACATTGTGTACACATATGGTTTTCAAAACTGCATATTGTATTATCCACTGGAAATACCCCAAATCATCTTAACCATTAAAATGACATTAAATCACAAAATTCGAGTAAATGAATTCATCTTGAAGAACAACCAAAGAAGACTAAGTTTATAGTCATTAGTTTGTCAACACGAGATTTGACCAAGCAAATTAACATTGGTGAGTGAATGTTATGCAGTTGGTATGTCATGAAGAATAGATGGCTTCAGATGTCATCACACAAGGTCTGGTTTGGAGGCCTGGGTCCCGTTCCTCAAAACGATCGTAGCGCTACGATGATCGTAACTCCCATACTTTAACATAAACTTATGACTGTCGTAGCGCTACAATCGCCTTGAGGAACAGGGCCCAGTTCTTTATCTTGTTAAACAGACACAGTGATTAGGAGTATACCAGAGTCAGCAGTATTACAGCTACAAATAGTTCTCTGTGTAATTCAAATCAGTCAACAGTGAGGATACATTCATTGTCCTACACAGCAGTCAGATCATGCCTTGTTGCAAACCCAGAAGCCATTCTGACCATCTGATACCCATTTTGGTGGCTAAGAAACACAGCCAATGTGTCTTCCCTAAATTCCTATGTACTGACACACAAGAGATACAAAGCTGTTATTCCGATACATTTTCTATCAAGCATACAATACGTGTTTCTGTACAAGCTAACTTCAGTTTGCTGCCATTTTGAAAATCAGATCAACATCACTAAACTCATTATTTTCAACACAGGAGCATTACTGGGTTTGTGATAGGCCAAGACATATGATCACTTGATAATTTGATCAGGTGAGCTAAAATATCTTGATTCTAAAGTGCTTCCAGTATCACTAGAAGATACGTTCATAAAACAGTGTTAAGATCACTTGTAATCAACTTTTTCTAAACCTTTGCATGTAAACCAAGTTTAATTTGTTTAACTTCTTACATCCATTCTAAGAGATGTTAAGATACTTACAAATGCCAAGGAATAAACGTTTTAGTAACTATGGTTATAATATATTTCAAACATGCAAATATTATTACCTGGAGTGTAGGTAGTGAATTAATGCAGATGTGCGGGTGAGCAAAGTCAGTTAGCACATGTAAGATTACCTGAGGTCCTTGGGTCCATTAACCAGATGACCATTTGAGAGGCCATTGGTCAGTGAGGTGGACGGAAGGATGAAGCCATTTGCACTGTGTACACCTGGACATAGATCCCGGAAGTTGTCTGCAGAAAGATATCAGATGACATGAGGTACAGAAATGGTGGATTTCGTTGGTTGGGTTTTTGTTTACTCAGCAATATTCCAGTAATATGTCGGCGGTCTGTAAATAATTGAGTCTGGACCAGACAATCCAGTGATCAACAGCATCGATCTACACAATTGGGATACGATGACGTGTCAACCAAATCAGCGAGCCTGACAACCCAATCCCATTAGTTGCCTCTTACAACAAGACCAATTCTAACCCGGATCTTCACAGGTCGGTGGATTTTGTACCTGGTGATTTTGGGGCAACGTGAAAACAAATTTAACAGAAATAGTAATCCTTACTTAAGTTATTTCATAACACATACGATCCTTGACCATTCACTCAGTCTTACCTGTCTTGCAGTTGGCTTTGAATGGACTACTGTGTGGGTGTATGGTTTGGTGTATCCATACATGACACAACCACATGTTTATTGATGTGAATCAAGGCCACATACAACTATTTCATACAGTTACTGGACAACTTTAATAACTGGTTGTTTTAAAACCTATTCCAAATACATGGGTAGCATCAAATGATTGGATTCTAAGATTCTTAGATACAAATCTTAGATACTACTTCTATATTTTCTAAAAAGCAAACACAAAACATTATCTCACATGTATAAAATATAAAAGTGAGTGAGTATGGCTTTACGCTGCTTTTAGCAATATTTCAACAATATCACAGCAGGGGACACACATTGAAATGGGGAATCACACATTGTTGGGACCCATGTTGGGAATCAAACCCGGGTCTTGGCGTGATGAGCAAACGCTGTAACCACTAGGCTACCCCACCGCCCCACAATATAAAAGCCTCCTAATAGATGGATAACAAACACTCAAAACACAAACAAGCATAATTAATTTCCTATTCACCAACATTCGAATTTTTCACTCCAAAACCACATCAGATCACACTAAAGTACTAGAAAGCAAAACTCAATCTACTAAATAGAAGTTAAAGAAAATCCATCTTCTTTAATATGACTTTTGTTAATATGTCATGGTATGACAGATTAATTATAGTCATGTGAAGAAATTATCTTAACCTCTTTTGAGTAGTGTATATATAATCCAGGGCCTATATTTTCGAAGCTCTCTTAACACTAAAACAGTCGTAAGTGCCATACCTTAAAATTAACTTACGACTATCTTAGCGCTAAGAGAGCTTCGAAAATCTAGGCCGAGGAGTCTACATGCAACAACTAACTCTATCCAGCTTGAAACTTTCAATCTATCTAGCCAAGTATGCCAAATATGACAATGTTGTTGACTCACAGAATGATGCCACGTTCATTGGGGGCTTAGTGTCTGTGTGGAGAAGTTGTTCATATAGTACACAGTTTTATATACAACACTAACGAGAAAAAAGGAATTAACAACTGAGCAGGTTATGTTTTTGTAAATATATCTAATACCATATTCACAGTAGTAAGCATCCCTGACACACCTTTAGATCAATCTATATGTTAGTTGTATATGTGCCATGTACAAAGCCTGAACATTTGTATGCCAGGTTTAGTTTCATGGATGTTTGAACTATGTTTGTTCAAGTACTGCTCAATCTCTGACAACAACTTTGACTTGTGTTAATATGCACGAACCTTTGTCTCTTTTCTTAGTGCCCAGTATCAGAGACAATATAATAGACGGACAGCCCTCGAGCCAATGTGCAAAACCTAGCGCTACGGCTTGTACTGCGCAGCCTATCCAGAAGATGGTGAAAACGTGCAGTGTAAGAAATAGTTTCCAAATTTTGCTATCCCATCGGGCTTGCTATGCCTGAAAGTAACTAGCCCACAAAATATTACAGAAAGGTAAAATACCATCATTTATCAGGCCATAGTCTTGCATGACTTCAAAGTGTATTATAACTGAACAAGTCGGAGAGAGTGATGTATTCAAATTCACTAGCCAATTCGGGCCAGTGACTGTGGAGTTTACTGGCCCGACTTGATTTATACTAGCCATGAGCTATTCGGCCAGTGGTTATTTTGTACACTGAAAACGTGTGTTCACTTCAGTCATCAATCTTGTGTATTTTCATTGCAAAGGTAAGATTTACATTTTTTTCATTAATGGTATTATATGGTGTCTGCAAGTATATAACACAGAAACAAGACCAGATTCAAAATACCTCCAGTTATTATAAGTGTCCCATACTACTTCATTTTACAGTCATTATGGTTATTGTGTTGTAAGCCAGAATAGAATCATTTTACAATTTTGACATTAAATAAAATAAAGTGATAAAAGTAAGTATGTACAAGATATTTTTTTACAGAACTGAAATTGTGAAGACCCGAGTTAATCAGACTTGGGCAATCTCCTCAGAACAGTTACTTCATTCTATGTAACAAAATATACTCCTCACAAAAAATTAAGCAACAAGTGTATTTTTGGTCAGTACATATGCCTTTACTCATGATCATTACAACTGAATCAAACATAACAAAGATAAAGCATATCCACACACTTTTCCAACAAAGAAATCAAAATTCATTGAACAATAACTGACTTGCAAATCATCAAAAACAGTGTCACTGAAAAAGCCGTGCAAAATGTGTTGCATCAGGGTATGAAAATGTCTGAAAACACTTTTACTGTCAGTTTTGAGCACTGATCCAAAGTTTAATAACGTGTATGGCCACCATTGACCTGAATACACGCTTCAAGACGTCTAGGCATTGACCAGATGATCTGTCTAGAGTCTGTTGTGGAATGTTCTGCCATTCTCTCCGCAATGCCTGTTCAAGCTGATCCAGAGTCTGAGGACGAACGTGGAGGCCGTACACACGCCTTCGAGGATGTCCCAAGCATGTTCAATAGGATTCAGGTCAGGAGACCTTGCAGGCCAGTCCATATGGGTGATGTTGTTGGTCTGAAGAACATCAGTGACAACTCTTGCTCGATGTGGACGGGCATTGTCATCCATGAAGATGAAGTTAGGACCTGCTTGCTGAGCCCACGGAATGATCACAGGTGTGACAATTTAGATCTCGGTACCCTCACACCTGTCATGGTACCTCGCCTGATGACCACAAGATCAGTTCGTCGTCCAACTTGGATTCCTGCCCAGATCATCAAACTCCCACCTCCATACTGATCATGTTCAGCAATCGTACAGTTGGCGTTATCGTTCGATACACGGTTTCTCCACACACGAGCCCTACCATCATTGAAGTCCAGACAGAATCTTGACTCATCTGTGAAGAGAACATTACGCCAGCCGATTGACTCTCCAGTTACGCCGTTGGTTAGCCCAATTCAGTCTCTGTTGACGATGGTGTGCAGGCAGTGGGATACGCTGCACTGGTCTTCGGGACCTGAGACCTTCAGCATGGAGTCTGTTCCTCACTGTCTGTGTGGAGATTCTGTTCCCAGCAACTCTCTGGAGGTCATTCTGGAGAGATCTGGCTGTGGTGAACCTGTTCGCCGGCTAGGGTGGCCAAGTATCGGTCCTCTCTGGGAGTTGTCACCCTTGGACGACCTGGCGTGGTCTCTCAGTCATCAATCCGGTCTGTTGGTGACGAGTGATCGCTTCTGGAGATGACGCTTCGATGAACATTGAAATGGTTGGCAACAGCACTCTGGGTCTGACCCCCTGCACCATTCCAACAATTTGAGCAACTTCAATTGGTGTCAAGTGACGCCTAGCCATTTCTCAAATGTTACTGTCAACAATTTGTCGTTGCTGGCAGTTTTAACGCAATCAGAACGCATGTGCGACGTGTATAGCACATGTTTTCCATGCATTTTGCATGTGAGTTTTGAGGGTGGTTGCGTTCAGGCGGTGCTAACAATGTTATCAGAAAAACAATATGGGAAATGCTTTAAGTTCATCAATCGTAAAGGGTTCTCCTGCATGGCTTATATGCCAAGTAATAACTTCATATACCCATGAAGAAAATATGTGGAAAAAAATACTTGTTGCTTAACTTTTTGTGAGGAGTATATATGATAGTTACAGGGACTAAATTGTTTGATCGGCATTCTAGAAGTTGGTGAGTCAAAAATGAAACATACAACTTTATGAATGACAACTCCTTGTTTATTGCATAGAGCGACGTTTCGATGGGCAAGTAAAGTCATGAACTTTTAGCTTGATAACGGTGTAAGAATCTACATTGAAATGTCACTCTATGCAGTAAACAAGAAGCTGTCATCCATTAAGTTGTATGTTTCATTTTTACAGGTACTGAAGCTCACCTCCAACACACCTTTACAAAACTAAAGTCATCAACTATCAATGAAAACATATAATGAAGGATCGTTCCATGATTGAAATTGCTAGTCTTTTAAATATATGCATTTTATGATTTTGTCAGCATTTCTGCTCTATCACATGATTTTCACTGACATGGTGCCCACGTATGTAGTAAATGGTGCCCACGTATGTAGTAAATGGTGCCCACGTATGTAGTAAATGGTGCCCACGTTATGTAGGAAGTAAGTATCTATATTATTCCCCAATAGGTAGAAACATGCAACAATGTACACTTACCAGCATGAGTATACCCTGTTCGGTATGTTGAAGCCAACAAGAGCCTGTGAGATGTTGGAGGTTCCCTCATTGAGCGCCACCTGCAGGCGATGATGGATATCATCAGGGGAGGTAAGCGGAGGCTGCCCTTGTGCATTTCTACCATCTACAAACTGCAGGAGGGAAGCAAAGTCAGCAAGCAAGGTTAGCAAGCAGGTCAGCAAGGAGGGTTGATAGGAGAAAGGTGGAGAGAAGAACGACAAAGCATAGAGATTTGCTCCTGAATTTAGGATTGGTTTGAGATTATATCCCATGTATATCACTTGTGTGTGTGTGTGGCTGTTTGTACTGACTGGACTTGCACCATATTTGTAATAATAGCCCACTGAGAAACCATGGCACACTCTAACGCTGATACACCATTCTGACACATCATACAGACTCTATCCTGATCATTCCTCTGTGTCCACATCACTGACAGTTCATGAATCTCCTCTCACCTACTTATTGCCCAAATTAGTCACATGTTGCCATTTAGTTTTCATTATTTGAGATATAAAGTTATGGAACATATTTTGACATTCAAGCTTATCAGGGTCACAATTTACTCACTCATGGTAGGAGAAAAAATTGATGTCCCTTGTCAACATGCGAGTAAACTAATGTTTGAATATGTCTGAATAAACTGTATTTCATTTTCCGGAGATTGTCCAGCGTCCTCAGACACCTTTACTAGTCTGACAGTACATGTATTCCATTCAGCATAGACTGAGCCTTGAATGGGTACATATATATCTGCACTCCTGATTACAATACCAAACCAGTTGTGTCTCAATGGGTTTAATATTTCATGGCGACGCAAATCAGTATGTTATGTCCAGATCTGGTTTTATACTAGCTCAACAGATAGTTAAAATGAATACACCTAACACTTAATATTGACTCCCAGCTAATCTGTCATATGACCCATATTAATGCCGAAGCTGCAGGGACTTTACTTTTATTTTAGCAGTATATTACAGGGATTGAACCCACAGTTGTGTCTCAATGCAACATTTCAGTACAAATCAAAGTTACATGATCTATACTAGAGGTTAAAAAACACCTAACACTTAATATTAAAACAGCTAATCTGCCATAGACTAGGCTGCTTCTTTACTTTTATTGAGCAGTATATTACAGGTAAGGAGTGGAGCCAAGATGGCAACAGAGGTCAGAAAGATCTAAAAATGTCTATGATATGAAAGCATAGATGCTATTCTGTAGAAAGAACTGCCCAATCCCATGAAGTTGAAGACAGTAATCTATGCAACTAAGCAAGAAAGGCCACACTTTAATACTATTGCTTATATCAGCACTAACACAGATGTTACCATGCCCAGTTCATACTGGGCTTTTGGTCAAGAATGTAACATTTTTTTTGCATACTGTAAAATTGTGCAACAAATGTGTTATCAATATCTGACATCACAAACAGGACTGACTGATTACAAATACATCTCTTGGGTTTTCACCAACTCACAAAGAAACTGAGATCTTTCTGTCTGTCTTCTTCCGTTTTCTTCTTGATTTCTGCCATTCTCTGGAATGTGATAAATGAATACAAATAATGTTCCAGACATGAGTGAGAAAAAACAGGAACATCATGCTTGGTCTTCATATATACACACAGTCAATAAAATCTTGTACTGAACCACAAATGTAAGGTATGTTTTTCAGAAAAACAAAAATTGTATCTATATTATTTTATACTCATCCTGACTCATACTAATTACTTATCTCTATTCCTCCAAAAATGTAGTACAAATGTAGTCTTGTGCTGTGTTCACCAAGAACACAAAAACATCTCACTCAAACACACCCTAAACAATTATCATTTGTGTGGTACATAACTTGCAAGTAATGTCTCTGTTTTAATTCATATCTTTTAATACCGGTCTGACCATAGTTTCATCACATAGTCTAGTTTTGATTACCATAAATTTGCATTCCTCGATTCCCTGACCACCTATATAGAGCTTGGAATAATGACTTCCTACTCATTTCTTCATTGACAGCTCTCTGCATGGCCAAACTTCTTGACTTCTACTGCTGACAACTATATTACCCATCAAAAGTTTAGACTCACTTAAAACACTCACTATATGTTATGTAGATATACATGGGGTTACATCGCAGATGAATTTCTCCACTAACTTGGGGAAACCAACTGCAAACCTTATGCAGATGAATTACACGAGGATCATGTATCAACTTGCTGAAAGGTATGTGCAAATATCGTGCATGTGAACAGCTGTGTTTTGGTGTAAAGTTTTGTTAAGAATTTGCCAATTTTCACTGAGTTTCATCATTTATTGAACTCATGTCAATAAACTTTTCAACTTTACAAATTAGTTTTACAATGCATCAGTTCATGTGTAAACAGTACCCTTAATCTGTATAGAATATGTTGCAAAATCTAGTTTAGATCAGTTGACTGAAGTAAGTGGCTACATGTACACTAGTGAGTGTAAACTATTGATGGGGAGTATATGTGATAATGAGATCCTCTGTAGTACACAGTGTACCTTAGCCTGCCTCTCGATGCTCCTCTCTTCTGTGAAGCAAGGCACTCCCCCATTACTGCGCCCCTCATACTTGCTGATGTAGTGGGGGCGAGTGGCCATCCTCATGTACTTGTCCAGGGCAGCGTTGGCCTGCAATCAGAGTTTCTGGGTCACAAGTTGCAAACTTTCATTTAGATTTTACATATATGGATTTTTCAAACATCAAACTTTTATTGTTCATGACAAATGTTGAAGTTGTTTGCCTGGCCATCTGTTTTATTGAATGGCAGAAATATTGAAGATGTATAGAAAACAATCATCATTGAAGTTACTGAACTGGAACAAGAGGAACCACAAGCATGATTTCTTATATGAGAGAATAATTTCCTTGAGCTCCCCAGAATACAAAACAAATCACAACAAAAATAATATAATAAGACCCAACTCCAAACAATAACATTCAGTTATGGAAGGAAGGTACTGTGACACACATGGGGAAGACAAAAGGTTAGAGTGAAGCCATGCAGGTCATGTTAATAGATGAGGCAACTTGAGGCAATTTGTGGCAAGTCATGTTTAGAAGGATATATACCAGCATGTGTCAGGGTCCATATGACTGACCAGAGAAATAACAATATCTTTACTCCTTCACAAACATACACACAGCAGAGGTGTCCTGGTTATAGAACTGAATGACTAGGGTTCTACAGAGAACCAAACAGGCCGTGCTAATGTTGTCTGTATCTAGAGGACTGGATACAATCAGATTGCTATAATGGTTGCAGACATCAGGAACCTAAGCAACCTGGATGACTAGGGTCCTTGAGGAGACACATGAAGGTCACGCTAATGTTGTCTGTGTCTAGGGGACTTGATACAATCAGATCGCTATAATGGTTGCAGACATCAGGAAGCTAAGCAACCTGGATGACTAGGGTCCTTGAGGAGACACATGAAGGTCACGCTAATGTTGTCTGTATCTAGGGGACTTGATACAATCAGATTGCTATAATGGTTGCAGACATCAGGAAGCTAAGCAACCTGGATGACTAGGGTCCTTGAGGAGACACATGAAGGTCACGCTAATGTTGTCTGTATCTAGGGGACTTGATACAATCAGATCGCTATAATGGTTGCAGACATCAGGAAGCTAAGCAACCTGGATGACTAGGGTCCTTGAGGAGACACATGAAGGTCACGCTATTGTTGTCTGTATCTAGGGAATCAGTGCACACTCTTAACCACTATACTCATTGCAGACTTCAGGAACTAAAGCAAACTGGATCATATATTTCTCTGTTGTGGATCTAGGGGGAATCAACACAACATCCACTCTAAGTTAATACCTTCTCCAGGTGCAATGACAGCAGCAACAGTTCTGGATCCAGAAAGTATATAATGAACTCCGTCTTCTACTTGAAGAACAAATCTGAACTTCATTTTATTTCTTCCCCGTTTTCTTTCTATTCTTGCAACAGTTATGAACGTTTTAGTATTTGGGATGTAAAAGAAAAGTGAACTAAATCAATGAAATATTGATTCTACACATCAAGTGATTTTCCTCAGAAAGATCAAGAATAATTCCATGACTGGGAATCAGGTTTGTACTCCCCAGAAATAATGTTCTCCTATTTTCTCCTTTCATATCATGGCTGATGGGTCCTGGCAACCTTAACTTCCACTATGCATGATTCTGCCATCTTAGCTATGACTTGCTCACATATACCATTGAGACCCTGGAAGGTCTTAATAAACTTTCAAGCCATCTACTCTGTGTAATCTTCAATCCGAAATTGTTCAACTAGATCTTCCAGAATACAGCTTGCAAGAAGACAACCTGATGTAATATGTAGGCTGGCCAATGGTGCCACTCCCATGACCATTAGTGATACAAATAATCAATTAACAAGCCATGAAAATGTACACCATGCACTGCTTGAAGATGGATCACGTTTGTCCAGTACTGCCATAAAACTAAGGTATCATTTGATAAGAAAATCTTATCCAGCATGTCATATTAATTTCTCATACAAATATTTCTGAAGCTGTCTTCGAGTATATAAATTGTACCACTACAATGGAGCATCACAGAGACAATTTCCAGCAGACATGAGACACCATTCAAGAACTGATCCTCACTGAAAGAAACTCCTGCATTTACTCATTGTCTGTCCTAGAGCAGTTTTAATCAGACTGTGTTCTGTGTGACCCCTTCTCAAAATGGTGGACAAGTGGGTAGATGGTGGTGGAGGTACACCTGCTGGTGCCTCAAGGGCAGAGTTAGAACATGGTAACATGTCATGTTGTCGAACAGTCTTGGCTGTGTGACTTCTTGAGGCTGACTTGTTTTTATGACGTATATTTCTCAGCGGGTGAAACACTACCTTACCATCGTCTAAGTGTATTTTGAGAAATTGAGATGTGATTATCACAGAAGACAAGTCAGTGTCTTCAGATGATTGTCTGTATCTGTGGTTCTTCAGCATCTGAAAAGCTTCAAAGGTCAGTCCTGGCATTGCTGACCGAAGACTCGATGGGACAGAACTCCTCGGAGTCTTCTCAGGGAGAATCGAAAACTGTTTGGGGTTTAACACAATTGTTTTCTTCTCAGGGGTTGAAGATTTTGATTTAGATGATTTCTGAAATTTCAAAATGATAATAGTATCTGTCTGTATATTTGGATAATACAGAAATCTGGAAACATTAGGTATTGAACAGAGGATACAACTTTCCATCTCAAAATCTTGGAAGAACAAAGGAAACCAAAGAAAGACATGAGGAAAATAAGAACAAAATTGATACCGTATAATATCAACAACATCCAGCAAATGAATCAGTCCTGAGAATGACAATTCAAAAACATACCTACTATAAAACTGAGACACCAACCACAAGTACCAGTAGAGAAACAAACAAATGGAAAGCAAAAGCAAAAGGATGTCCAATGAAAGAAAACCAAAGTAGACTGAATAATGTCACATACATAGTACTGCCAAGTGTAACAGAATTCAATCTGTCCTCAGCCACTGATGGAGTTGATAAAGAAGACTTTAACACTACAGTGAGTGAGTGAATTTAGTTTTACTCTGCACTCAGCAATATTCCAGCTATATGGCAGCGGTCTGTAAATAATCAAGTCTGGACCAGACAAACAAGGGATCAACAGCATGAACATCGATCTACGCAACTGGGATACGATGACATGTGACAACCCAGTCAGCGAGCCTGACCACCTGTAAGTCGCCTCTTACGACAAGCATGGGTTACTCGTTTTATAAGCATGGGTTGCTGAAGATCAATTCTAACCCTGATCTTCACGGGTATTAACACTACAGTCCTTTGCACATACATAAACATGATCTCAGTGTGACTTTGATGCTACCTTAGTGCTTCTTGTAAGCTAGGTTAACTTGACCTGAATATACCAATTATAACTGAATGTTCCAGTAAACTTTATGTCTAGCCAAACAACAGTGAGTGGGTTTAATGGGCAACATGGTTCAGTGCTAACACTCAAGTAGATTGTCTGACTTTTAAAGGTCAATTTACTCAAGAGACTGTTATTCAATGGTACTTTGTCCCAGAACCTACCTGTTTGGCTTGTTCACTAACAACTGGGTGACAAGATCACACTGCAAGACAGTAAGGGATGTATCAGCCCTGTGACTACCTGAGACCACCTACCTGTCTGACCATTAGCGTCTGGGGACCCTTGACAACCGGAGACCTACCTGTCTGGCTCTGTACAGAGGTGAGCTGTGTGACTGGGAAGGTAGAGACCCTGCCGGCAGCTGGTGGTGGGAGCCATGATGTGACTCTGGGACACATACAAGGGCCGGCAGAGATGCCTGCTTGTAGCAAACATGTAGCCAATCACCAGGTTAGTTGCACACAGAACATTTATTATGCACACAATTGGTGTGACAAGCATGCAAGTCATTACCATGATATGCCAGTCTTGATCCTGCAGTGCAATTCCACTCTATCATGATAAATATCCTGGGCTCTTATTCTTGAAACGTTCGTATCCATAAGAACTCTTAACTTTGATGGTAGCTAAAGTGTTAAGAATGGGCTTAAAATGTTTGTTGGGCTACTAATGTTTCAAGAATAGCTAGCCAGGACACATTGTCCTTCCCAGCCCTCAAAATTCAAGCTAGTTCGCTGGCCCAAGGCTACAGTGTTCAAATCAAGTCCTCATGGCCTAACAGTATTTAAGGGCCATAATTATGAACCAGTTCTCAATCCTTCTATTTGCCTACAAAGTTAACAGATTTAATTTAAACTGATAGAACAAGTAAGTACTGTATATATTCTTGGCTTCTTCAAGTAGGACTTGTTATGAACTTTTGAGGACAAGGGAAAAAAGTTAACCAGATCTCTGGACAACCCTTTATAATTTGAATGTCTGATCCTGTAATGAGTAAGTATGATTTTATGCCGCTTTTAGCAATATTCCAGCAATATCACGGTGGGGGACACCAGAAATGGGCTTCACACATTGTACCCACGTGGATAATCAAACCCGGGCTTTCGGCGGCGTGACAAGCGAACGCTTTAACCACTAGGCTACCCCATCTCCCCTCTGATCCAGTATCACAAGTCTTGTTCAAATTTGATTTGGCATTTTCAAAACTGAAATCAGTTTATGAGCTGAAAGAATCCATGCAAAGCTAGTGAGAGAGATGCTGACATCACGTACAAATAAGTTCAGATATCAAACCAGTCCAGCATATTTATCATACTATCAGGGAGATATATACACTGGAGTATCAAGACCTGACATTCCTTCAGTGCAAACATGTTATGTGTTTCAATATTAGTACGTTTTAACAATGCAACACTGAAACCATTAGTGGGAGGGTGTTCTTTTTTAATCAAATCACAGCAACTTTCAGCGTAGTTCAATTAACATAAAATTGGCAAACAATATTACAAATTCACAGCACTCTTCAACTTCAACTCCAGAACAGAACCCAAACACCACTTCTGTGGAAATTGAATTATCCAATCAACTACAGTCTGAAGCTGTAACTATGGTTACAAGACACACTCACAGATAAAACCTTCATTCGGGAGTCCTCTTTCTTTTCAGCTGGGGTTGGTGTTTTCTTGTCACGATCCCGCTGTTTTCGAGATTTCCGCTTCTTCTTCCGAGTTTTAGATTCTTTCATCTCTGGTTCTGATTCACTGTCACTATCACTGGAACTGAAATGGGAAGTGAAAAGAGTACAGACAACCACTCAATCCAAAATAAACAAAATCAGCAAGGTTTCTAACCATCCAATCCATTTAGTCAGTTCTTTTGGCAAGCAGTATGTACCATGAAAAACAGGGAAATCAAAAGAGATCTATTTCAAAACTCCAGCAAAGGTAATTATCAATACTTGCTTTGGATCTCAGAGACATGATCGAAAGTAGTTTAGATAAACAAAATGTCAACCAAGCCTGACTGCCAATTATTCTAAAGTTCCTCATTGGTGAAACCACTAGTAAAAGTTATATATTCTTTCACCAAATTCTCAATGTCCAATAACTTCTTGGCAATGTTACACCAGTTTGTGGAGAGACAAGACGTAATGGTAACATCACTGAAAATACAAACAATTTAAAGAATTGTAATAATTGTTATAATTGTTAGAATCACACTTTGACACTAACTCTGATTCTGTGATAGCATCTCGAACACTGAGCTCTGTGAGAATGTTCAGACAACCGTCCATTGTTTTGAGTGACATGTTATCAATGAGCTGATCGATCTCCTTCCTTGTTATTGCTGGTTCCTTCCCGGTCTCAGGTTTCACTCCCTTCTGCTCCTTTTTGTCCTCCTTCTTCCCCTTCTCCTGCTTGTCCTCCACTGAAGACTTTTCCCGATCCTTGGCCACGAGGGACAGAATGACGCCAGTCCACTTCTCTGCATCCTCCTGGATCATCTCTGCCTCCATCTCAGACAAATTGGAATCTGAAACATCATCAGTGAGTGAGTGAGTGAGTGAGCATGTGGTTGTGAGTGAGAGAGAAATGGGTGTGGGTGGGTGTGGTGGGGAAATGGGTGTGGAGTGGTTGTGAGAGGAATGGGTGAGTGAGTGAGGAATGTGAAAAAGAGTGAGGTTGGTTGAGTTAGGAGGAAATGGGTGGTGTGATGAAATGGGTGTGCGTGGTTGAGTGAGTGAGGCAGAGCATGGAGAAGAGCAGTGAGCAGTAGAGAGGAATGGAGTGTGTTGTCTGATGCTGCAGTCAGCAATATTCCAGCTATACTATCACAACATACAAGAAATTTAATATAAATGAGTGAAACTTGTGACAGAAAGCATGACCAAGAAGACATGCTCCACAATGCAGTACACACAAGCAGGCAAGTCAAAGCATCAGACACTGAACACGAATCCATTTCAACTGCCTAAGAGTCTAACAAATCCTAGTCTATCCTTGATCTCTACAGGGACTGAACTGACTGACGGTCTCACCTTGCCTCAACATGGCCATGTCCGTGAAGCTGGGGATCTTGGTGTCCTGTGGGAGGAGCCCTCGACTCACCAGAATATCCTGAGTAATCACTCTTGTAAGGTCAAGGACAACCTCCGTCTGGCGGCTGGCAACAAAAAGTATTGCTTGCTTAGTTCCAAGAACCCCATTACAAACATTACATCCCTATAAAATATTTGTCATTTCAGAATAACAAAAAACACTTGCATTGTCTTTTTTTGTATGGATATTATCTATCCCATGACTACAGAAATTTAGAAAATGATTAATTAATGCAAGGTAATTGTCAAAAAAGAGTCAAAACTGTCGAGGGTTGAGACCACTTAGCAAATCATTCAATCTAGCTTTTGAAAAAAATGATCCAATTGTTGCCTAAGACCAAAATTAGTGAATGTTGACCTGGGAACAATATGAGCCAATGGGACACCATGGAACAAAATAAGCTTATTGAAGAAAAGTGGGGCAAAAGGAGCAATTGGTACCCCAGTATAAATGAGCCAATTATAGCCCAGAATAAATGAGCCAATGATAACCTAGTATTTAAAGAGGTAATGGTTGCCTAGTATAAGTGAGCCAAAGATAGCCTAATATAAATGAGCCAATGGTTGCCCAGTATAAATGAGCCAATGGTTGCCCAGTATAAATGAGCCAATGATAGCCAGGCCTAGTACAAATGGGCCAATGATAGCTCCGTATAAATGACCCAGTGGAAGCCCAATATAAATGAGCCAATGATAGCCCAGTATAAATGAGCCAGTGGTAGCCAATACTCACGCCTTGTTCTGCTGCAGCTCCATGTAGTCCAGCACCACCTGACCCAGGGTCTTCCCCATGTCCATGAAGTCACTGATGTTGAAGTGCCGACTCCGCCCACTTAAGTATAACAACACAGCACATGATGAGATTATATTCAGTGGATCTGAATCTGACATGACCTTGATATTGGGGTAATGATGAATCGAGATGATGAGAATTTGGGGAAATGATTTTGTTTATAAACATTGGATTTCCATGTCCCTGTTATAATAAGATATAATCCCAATATGATGTAAGGTTACCTTAAAAGCAAACTGTTTTTCCAGGACTCGATATGTCGTCTTATGTTGGCGTTATATTGTGGTATGTATTATCATATATGGCTATTTTTGTTTGTTTCTTGTTTAACGCCACATTCAGCAATATTCAAGCTATATGGCGGGGGTCTGTAAATAATCGAGTCTGACCAAACAATCCAGATATAGCTTTGTAGGCTCCTGTTTATTTCCGCAAACTGCAATACAGCTATCCGTAAACTCCAACATGTTGCATATGTGTATTATAAACACACTGCACTTCTATATCCCTGCCACTGTTACCTGTCGAGAATGGTTCCGCTGAATGTGGCCTCCAGGGTGAAGCTGTTGTGGATCTTCATCTGCCTCCACATCACCACGCGACCTGTCGACTCCTTGCACTTCCTTATATGAAACTTGCATGATGGGTAGCTGAATTTGTCAGGGGACTGCAAAAAGAAGCAGTGTAGTTATTGGCTGGGGTGGACGGAGGTGTGCTAACACAATTTCATTACTTATCATCAAAACCTGAAAGATGGATATTATAAGTTGTATGCTTCTCTCGAGGGTAATACAGTCTGATGTACACCTGTTTGTACCTGTGTCACCCGAGCCGGTAGGCGAGGGATAACACTGCTACAAAGATGCATACATCAGACTGTATTACCTGAAGGAGAAGCATACAACATATTTATCTTACCGCCATGTTAAATGTACAAAATATCATTTTATTTTATTTGGAAGATCGCTACCAACTATATGACATGTAAACAAAGTGACGTTTGCCTCTTGACTGGATTTTTAAAATCAGTGAAACATATTCTGACAAGCTTAAAATTGCTATAAAAATGATTAATTATGTTTAAGTTGAGTGTATAATATAGTTTAAATAAAGCTGTGAAATAAATGTCTACATAGTGAACTAAAAACAGCTTATCAAACGGTTTTCGAACTCCGGGCACTGCATGCATCATATTATGACGTCATACAATTGTTAGTGATACAGCTTCTCGGCGAAGAGTTTGGCAGTTACCGTGGCAGAGGGTTATATTTTTTCCAGTTGTCACCCTCCTGGGAAACTTGTTAAACCATCATTGACCAATGAAATTAAAGTATTTTACATGAAGGTAAGATAATATTCTTTGTACATCTTGTATCCCTTGAAAGAGGTGGAAGAAAAAGAAGAGAGCCAACACTTCTGTCAATTCTTAAAAGGTGTTCACAATAACTGCAACATCATTTTTCACCTGTGGTGATGGTTGTCATACACGCATCTCATTGGTAATGAAGATATTTAATAACTGTAATACCTTTTGAGACATCAGCCACGGGAAGAGCCGTTCATTGATAAAGGTCCTTGCAGCACCAAACTGGGACACATCTTCTTCAGTGGATGTGTTATTGCCATACATGAACACATTGTGTTTGCGACTGTGGCCGTGAAGGTCACAATATAAAAGCACCTGTCAGAAAGAAAACTTTACTTACAATTTGTGAAAAATACTCATGGACCTAAAGTCCATGCCACATGTATTCTTGTGAACTTCATGATTTGCAACTGTGTTGGCAGCAGCTTTGAAAATGGTTTGTGAGCAAGTGACATTAAATCTTTAGGAGTGAGTGAGTGAGATTAGTTTTATGCCGCTTTTAGCAATATTCCAGCAATATCACAGCAGGGGACACCAGAATTTGGCTTCACACATTGTACCCATGTGGGGAATTAAACCCGGGTCTTCGGCAAGACGAGCGAACGCTTCAACCACTAGGCTACCCCATCGCCCCTTAAATCTTTATGACATAACAATGACATGATCCACTACAACTCTTTGTTCTTCAACATGCACTATTTACGGAATATTCCAGCCTTGCCAGTGGTGGGTCACCAGAAAAGTGGTTCACACATAGCACCTACCGTATGTACATTAAGCAAGGCAACTGACCTACCCCATCAACCTTTTGCAACTGATTATCGTCAGATTCACACATTGTCCCCATGTTACTGAATCGAACCCTGGTATTTGGCCTGATGAGTGATCTCTTTAACCACTAGGCTACCCTACCACCCAAGTACTATGAAAAACACCAAGTGGTCCAAAACTTCATTACATACGGAGTAGTACATAATGCCCAAAACTCATCCCTAAAGAGTCATATCCAATCTCAGGCTAATAACTACATTGCCAGTGGTCAATCTTACTTTTAGAACAGATTCATTGTATTTTTGGACCACATTAATTGTTATTTGTTTGAACACTTTCATTGATATTTGCAAAACAGGATTATTATCATTTGTGGAACAGGTTCATGTATATTCAGAACTGGTTCACTGTACGATTTGTTAAAACAGGTTCATTCACCATGCACAGGGGGCATGGTAGACGAGCTGTCTAAGGCACCGCGCTAGTAAGCAAAAGGTGCCTGGATCGATCCCCACTTGTGACCGGGTGTAAAAACCTTGGAGCTAACATTACTTGCAGGTTGTGCACTTAAAAGAACCCACTCATCTGATGGTAGGTGACCAGATGGTGGACACACAAACATGTGCAGACACCTAGTTGCAGGTATAGTAACATGCATCATCACTGGACAAAATACTGTGACTATGTGTCCCAGTTCACCCAGCTGCAAATGGGTACCTTGGGTACCCATCATCATCATCATCATCATCATCATCATCATTGTGGTATTAGTGGAACAAGTTCATTGTTATTTGCGTTCATGTTTATTGTAGGGTGGAGTATCTGTAAGGGTGTGTAGCAACTGACCTCATGCCTCTGCACCAACATGTCCACCATGCTCTTGACATACCAGATGGTTGGGAAACTCTCGCACCGCGGGTGGCGGTAGTTCCTGTTGAGGTCTCGGTCGGCGAGAGAGCAGCGGTAATTCCCCACAATCACACCATCAGGATTTAACATTGGCACTATTTTGAAGATAACACTATTGCGAAGTTTCTGGAATATGTACACAATAACATTCTTCAATAAAAGTTTTGTTGAACAAACTGTCAGAGATGAACATTCTAATAGTAAGACAGAGATTAAAAGACCATTCAGTGGGTGGAAAAAAAGTCCATAACTTAAAGACCTGTGTAATAACAATGTATTATAGAGACGAAAATGTTGGGGTCAAGGTTGAGGTCAAGGTCCATGGCAGGGAGACAATCAGGGGTGAGTCACACCAAAACCTCTTATGTTCATGGGCACAATTAGATATATTAATAAAGAAAAAAAGACATACATTTTACAGTTTAAACAAATTTTGCATATTTTCACGAGAAGTAATAACTTGGCAAAGAAATGCTTGGGGTGAATAGTATAACTGACTGGCAAGTAAGACTGGCTTCATGCCTAAGTATGTCCATTGACTGAGTCTGACTAACCTCAGCTACCGGGTGGGAGCTCGTGACAAAGTCTAGAAGTCCCTTCATCATCCAGCTGGCCTGGGACTCCCCTGGGTGGACACGGGCAGACACCACAACTGCCTTCTTCCTCACTCCTGGTGTTGCATGCTCTGTGACCAACAGTCACCAGTGTCAGACATTAGGGTACAAATGGCATCATCTACATTACAGTCATATGAAGGTGGTGGTGATGGAATAGGGTTTAACGTCATGTTTGAGAATATTTCGCTCATATGACGATGTGCATGCGTGTGTATGTGTATGTGCGCCTGCTTGTACTAGCCCAGACTTAAGCTGGTTTTATAGTGCTAGCCCACTGAGATACTATGCCGCAGTGAAGCATGAATACCCCACTCAGACACATTATACTGACTACGAGCCGACCAGTCCTTGTTGTACCCATTAATGCTGAGCGCCAGGCAGGGACCAACAAGTACCATATTTTAACGTCTTTTGGTATGACGTGGTCGGGGATTGAACCCGCGACCTTCCACACTCGGCGGACGCTCTAACCACTACACCACGGAGGAGGTCTCATATGAAGGGTTCCATCTATGCTTTTACTGGATCAAGTACACTTACCATGAGCGAGCCAAGTTTAATTTCTACAGCACTAATTATAACCTGGAATCCACACAATTTTAGTCTTAAAGTGATGAAAACTCCCATGCTTTTACCTCTATTTATGACTGTCATACCACTACACTTGCTTTGAGGTAGACATCTCATATCCCAGATTTGTCTTGGCTTAGGAATATTCAGCTTCATTTTGTTCATACAATGGTTGGAATATGTGTCCTTGTGTGTAGTGCTAGATTACTGTAATAGTTTTGCCATTTTTCCAACTGTCACCTATTCTCTTGGAGGCCATGTTTAGGCTATATTTGTGTGTGACATGTAGATCTGCGGTGCTGCTCTGGGTATGTCGACACCTACCAAAGTTAGTGACTGTGATGAGGAAGCAGCTGTTGCCGGCCCGAGTCTCACACAGCACCTCCCGCCTCATGAACTGCTCACGCTCCGGGTCCTGCAGTAGGGTGTCCAGGTCCTCCTTCAGGTCCGTGAATGTGTAGGGGTAGCAGTGGGCCAGGTAGTATGTGTCTTCAGCATGAGGGAACTCCTGCAACAGTTACATCAGTGAACATAGGGGTTGGCCATGTGTCTCCCCTGAGGGAACTCCTGCAACAGTTACATCAGTGAATAGGTTGGCCATGTGTCTCCCCTGAGGGAACTCCTGCAACAGCTACATCAGTGAACAGGTTGGCCATGTGTCTCCCCTGAGGGAACTCCTGCAACAGTTACATCAGTGAACAGGTTGGCCATGTGTCTCCCCTGAGGGAACTCCTGCAACAGTTACATCAGTGAACAGGTGGTGGCCATGTGTCTCCCCTGAGGGAACTCCTGCAACAGTTACATCAGTGAACAGGTTACATCAGTTGGTCATGTGTCCCCTGAGGGAACTCCTGCAACAGTTACATCAGTGAACAGAGGGGTTGGCCATGTGTCTCCCCTGAGGGAACTCCTGCAACAGTTACATCAGTGAACAGAGGGTTGGTCATGTGTCTCCCCTGAGGGAACTCCTGCAACAGTTACATCAGTGAACATAGGGGTTGGTCATGTGTCTCCCCTGAGGGAACTCCTGCAACAGTTACATCAGTGAACAGAGGGGTTGGTCATGTGTCTCCCCTGAGGGAACTCCTGCAACAGTTACATCAGTGAACAGAGGGGTTGGTCATGTGTCTCCCCTGAGGGAACTCCTGCAACAGTTACATCAGTGAACAGAGGGGTTGGTCATGTGTCTCCCCTGAGGGAACTCCTGCAACAGTTACATCAATGAACAGGGGGGTTGATTATGTGTCTCCCCTGAGGAAACACCTGTTGTTTTAGGCCCTGTTTGTGATCTATAAGTATTCAGTCTGGATCAGACAGTATAGCGCCTGACATGCATGTTAATCTATGCAACTGTGATACAACGACATGCGTTCAACCACTGAAAACCTTTTAGTCGTCTGTTAGGACAAGTGAAGTGAATGATGACAGACCTTTTATAAGGGACCATGTTGTAAGAGGTGACTAATGGGATCGGGTGGTCAGGCTCACTGACTTGTTTGACATGTCATCGGTTCCCAATTGCGCAGATCGATGCTCATGATGTTGATCACTAGATTGTTTGGTTCAGACTCAATTATTTACAGACCGCCGCCATAAAGCTGGATTATTGCTGAGTGTGGCGTAAAACTAAACTCACTCACTGTAAGGGACCAACAGTTACATGATTGAGGGCAAGTGAATAAGGTTAAATTGATGTATGGTCACGTCGGGAGTAATACCTAAGTATGTAAGTTGTGAATGTTTACTATTTTTTTAGAAATCCACAAACATGGGTTATTGACACAAGGATTTATACCTACATCAAGCAAATCCTGACACAGCCAAGAGACATAATTATCAATGCTCTGTATAACAGGTTACCCGGTTGTGGTTGGTGAACTTGCTGTTTCATATTGTTGTAACCCTAAGACAAAGGTTTACAAGTAGTTAACCACCCAGGAAGTGATATAAAATACACAATGCCATTTTAGAAAGTGATCAAATGTAACATATTTTATATTTGGGATTACACTTTCTTAGTAAAGTACAGATTCTAGTACTTTTTGGGTTGAGTCCCATCCGGGATTCGAACCTGAGGGTGTGGGTTTGAGTGAGTGAGTGAGTGAGTAAGTGAGATTGGTTTTGTGCCGCTTTTAGCAATATTCCATCAATATTACGGCGGGGGACACGAGAAATGGGATTCACACAATGTACCCATGTGGGGAATGGAACCTGGGTCTTCGGCATGACGAGCCAATGCTTTACCCACTAGGCTACCCCACCGCCCGGTGTGGGTTCGAATCCCGGATGGGACTCAACCCCAAAAGTACTAGAATCTGTACTTTACTAAGAAAGTGTAATCCCAAATATAACATGTTACACAGGAAGTGATAGTGTCCCAGCATGCATCTTACCATCTGCCACTCCAGGTAGTAGTAAGCTATGCTGCGCTGTAGCAGCGGGCAGTGAAGGTAGGTCATATTGCGACTGTAGCTGAAACGGCAGAAAATAGTTCAACTGTATCACACACTGGGCTGGTTTATATCTCTTTTCAATAAATCAGCTTAATTAATGTATTGTTAAATTTATAGTAAGAGACTGAGTTGTGTTTCATGCTGCTTTAACAATATTCCAGCAATATTACAACAGGGGCCATCAGAAATAGGCTTCACATGTTGTATCCAAGTAGGGAAACAAACCAGGGCCTTGATGAGCAAACACTTTAACCACTAGGCCACCCACCCCATTGGGTTTATGGTAAACTACCTTTGTTACATGAAAACAAATATCATGGAAGAAAGTTAGTGTGTCTAATTTGGGTAAGAGCAGAAACACACAATGGTAATGAAGACATCTGTACTTCATGTCTAAGAATCCAATCGCTGAGTAAAAAATCAATTTGTCAGTTGTCAAACTGTTAAAAAAAGTTAATTAAAAAAGTTAATTCAAACCAGTAGCTGATTCTTTACTTTTTTCCATCAGCATATGTCAATTCATCACCATAACTATCCGTATGGTATCCACAAATACGTATTACTTCACTAAGAACAGTGTAGTACCTGATGTGGTGGCCTGTACGGTACCAGCCAGTCTTCCTATCTCGAGCATTTTGTTCTGAGTATCCCAGTGGCCGCATACCTGGTATAAATCAAACAGAATTTAATCAAAACTGTTCATCAATTTTTTATAAGGATATTGAAACATTTAATTCTGTTGCCAATCTCAAAACAATGCATCGGAATGAAAGTTGCACCTATCTCATGAAAGTTGCACCTATCTCACTACAGATCTGAATAGTATTTGTATGATGAGATCTCTAAGCAATTACTCCAATTCAGTTCCCAACCAGGACACTCACAGTATCCAATTGTGAGTAGGATATTAAATGACATTTAGATATCTGGGGATGTCCCCTTCCCCAAAAATTTTGAATCTCCCATTTTGTATTTACCGTTCAGATTAACAATGTTTCATTTGTGCAAATACTGTCACTGACAAAAATCAATAGTCACTTTGTTAGTTCATGCTTTAGAAATAGCATTAACTTCGAAGCTAAGTATATTTCTTTGGCATCAAACAATGTGAAAATTCAAATCCCACCCCTATTAACAATGACTGACAAATATAGCTTTCTTGTCTTGAACCCTCAAAGTAACTTTCTTGTCTTGAACCTCAAAGTAACTGGTTATGAAACTAAAAAGATAAATTGTAAACTATTTTCTAACCAATAAACGTTTTATCTTTACATCCAACTACGCAGACCACAAACCACACTGACCATAATTATACAGACTGTCCCTCTTGAGTAGGTTGACGATGCGGAACTTGTACGTGACCCCTGGTACAGCATTCTTGACCCGGAAGTAGTACCACTGTGTATGGCGGTTTGTGTACAGGTCCGTCTTTAGCACCAGTTCATATTCATACTGACCTCTGGAATAACATACCAAGCTTTGAAAAGACAATACATCAAGTGCATATTGATAATGGTGTAAAAATCTACATCGAAACATCGCTCAATGCAATAAACAAGAAGTTGTCATCCATAACGTTATATGCTTCATATTTTAATGATTCATCAGTTTCATTCATACCTGAGAAACACATGCGTAACTATTCATATTTGTATGTCATGCTAATGATGAAGATTGTTTATTATGTTTGAGAAATAAACGTGAATCTTTGAAACTCCAGAATCACAATACACCCTGTGCATAAATATTTCAAATTTCAAAAAAACACGAAACCAACTTCAAACATAATGTATTGTGTGCTACAGGTGGCTCCATTATGTCAAGAAAAACATAATATATTGTGTGCTACAGGTGGCTCCATTATGTCAAGAAAAACATAATATATTGTGTGCTACAGGTGGCTCCATTATGTCAAGAAAAACATAATATATTGTGTGCTACAGGTGGCTCCATTATGTCAAGAAAAACATAATGTATTGTGTGCTACAGGTGGCTCCATTATGTCAAGAAAAAAACATAATGTATTGTGTGCTACAGGTGGCTCCATTATGTCAAGAAAAACATAATATATTGTGTGTGCTACAGGTGGCTCCATTATGTCAAGAAAAACATAATATATTGTGTGCTACAGGTGGCTCCATTATGTCAAGAAAAACATAATATATTGTGTGCTACAGGTGGCTCCATTATGTCAAGAAAAACATAATGTATTGTGTGCTACAGGTGGCTCCATTATGTCAAGAAAAACATAATATATTGTGTGCTACAGGTGGCTCCATTATGTCAAGAAAAACATAATATATTGTGTGCTACAGGTGGCTCCATTATGTCAAGAAAAACATAATATATTGTGTGCTACAGGTGGCTCCATTATGTCAAGAAAAACATAATATATTGTGTGCTACAGGTGGCTCCATTATGTCAAGAAAAACATAATATATTGTGTGCTACAGGTGGCTCCATTATGTCAAGAAAAATAACATAACATATTGTCAAGAAAAACATAATATATTGTGTGCTACAGGTGGCTCCATTATGTCAAGAAAACATAATATATTGTGTGCTACAGGTGGCTCCATTATGTCAAGAAAAACATAATATATTGTGTGTGGCTCCATTATGTCAAGAAAAACATAACATATTGTGTGCTACAGGTGGCTCCATTATGTCAAGAAAAACATAATATATTGTGTGCTACAGGTGGCTCCATTATGTCAAGAAAAACATAATATATTGTGTGCTACAGGTGGCTCCATTATGTCAAGAAAAACATAATATATTGTGTGCTACAGGTGGCTCCATTATGTCAAGAAAAACATAATATATTGTGTGCTACAGGTGGCTCCATTATGTCAAGAAAAACATAATATATTGTGTGCTACAGGTGGCTCCATTATGTCAAGAAAAACATAATATATTGTGTGCTACAGGTGGCTCCATTATGTCAAGAAAAACATAATATATTGTGTGCTACAGGTGGCTCCATTATGTCAAGAAAAACATATATATATTGTGTGCTACAGGTGGCTCCATTATGTCAAGAAAAACATAATATATTGTGTGCTACAGGTGGCTCCATTATGTCAAGAAAAACATAACATATTGTGTGCTACAGGTGGCTCCATTATGTCAAGAAAAACATAATATATTATTGTGCTACAGGTGGCTCCATTATGTCAAGAAAAACATAATATATTGTGTGCTACAGGTGGCTCCATTATGTCAAGAAAAACATAATATATTGTGTGCTACAGGTGGCTCCATTATGTCAAGAAAACATAATATATTGTGTGCTACAGGTGGCTCCATTATGTCAAGAAAAACATAATATATTGTGTGCTACAGGTGGCTCCATTATGTCAAGAAAAACATAACATATTGTGTGCTACAGGTGGCTCCATTATGTCAAGAAAAACATAACATATTGTGTGCTACAGGTGGCTCCATTATGTCAAGAAAAACATAATATATTGTGCTACAGGTTGCTACATATATTGGTGCTACAGGTGGCTCCATTATGTCAAGAAAAACATAATATATTGTGTGCTACAGGTGGCTCCATTATGTCAAGAAAAGAAAAACATAATATATTGTGTGCTACAGGTGGCTCCATTATGTCAAGAAAAACATAATATATTGTGTGCTACAGGTGGCTCCATTATGTCAAGAAAAACATAATATATTGTGTGTTACAGGTGGCTCCATTATGTCAAGAAAAACATAATATATTGTGTTACAGGTGGCTCCATTATGTCAAGAAAAACATAATATATTGTGTGTGCTACAGGTGGCTCCATTATGTCAAGAAAAACATAACATATTGTGTGCTACAGGTGGCTCCATTATGTCAAGAAAAACATAACATATTGTGTGCTACAGGTGGCTCCATTATGTCAAGAAAAACATAATATATTGTGTGCTACAGGTGGCTCCATTATGTCAAGAAAAACATAACATATTGTGTGCTACAGGTGGCTCCATTATGTCAAGAAAAACATAAGAAACAAACAATACAGAGTATTTTTTATAACCAATGACTAGATCCCTTATCTAAAAATTCTTATTGATTCTGAGGAAAGTGTTGTCATTAAATACTCAAATACACCCCACACAAGGGGCATCTGATCTATGAGTCGATTCTTGAACAATTGTTACTGACAACAGACTGAAAGTGAGAACTTAATCACTCCCCAGACAGCAAGTCATGGCTGGAGTTAAAGATTACAGACTTTGAAAATGACACATCAAAGCCTAAACAGGAAACTTGAATAAAGCATATTTCATTTGAGTGAATTCACACAAACTTGGATAAAAATAATTAGGTTCATGATAGTCAGCACATTCAGTTTAGAATAATTATTACTCAACAATGATAATCCTTTAGGATGTATTTATATTGCACAGAGGTTAAGCAGCTTGTATGTCAAAAGGTATACTTCATGTATTTTCAGCTCTAATATAAGTCTGTAAATGTATGAAAGTTACAGCCATAATATCACTGACAATACCAATATTTTATGCTACAATCAATCTATTAATTGATTGACTGATTGATGTTTTATGCTCCTTTAAGCAATATTTTATAGCAATTTCATGGTCTGAAATTGCAGAAATGGGTTACACACATTGTACCCATGGGGAGAATGAAACTTGGGTTTCTGAATGACAAACAAATGCTTTGATCATTGGTCTACCCTACCACCCATTATTGCTGACACTGGGAGCATTACAGAAAATATCTTAATATCTCATACAATGAAAGGATTTTAAAAAAATGCATTCTTAACCACAGAAGTATGAAAATCTATTGACAATCAAAAATGCCCAAATAGAAACGGTTCCACAGAAAAACAGGTATTAAATACGTGATGACTGTTATAAAAAGGTGAAACTTAATATCTTAAAATTCATTAATTTATGTTTTGTTTATATATAGTGGCACAATGTTTACAATGCCCTAGCCAGTGAAAAACTTCACCACCTAACTACGACCTCTCTTTAAGCAGTAAACATTCGTTATGTGACGTTAACAAAACAAAACGTCCACATAAACTCCAGTCAAGTAAACCTATATTCAAACCAACACTAACAAATCAGCGTACAGTGACTTGGGATATCTCCACCCATATCCACCTGACAACTACAGGGGATAACAGGTCGTATCCCTCCAGCAGTGTATACAAACACACTGCCTACCTACAGAAACTAGCGCTGGGCCGACACCTTGGTTTTTGCCAGTCTACTGGCGAAGTCAATATTTGATAATGGATTTATCTGGCAACAATTACACTTCAGTGTACTGCTAATAAACAAGGGTGCCAGGAGTGAAATGGTTGTTACTTCTGAAGCATACCAAGACTTTTTTGTAAGTCAATTTAACAATGATAATACTGGCAACTTCTCTGGTGATCTCTTTACAGCATATACAGATATACTTTACACCAAACATATGTACCTGGCTACTCCGCTACGGAATACCTTCAAGGATCTGTTTAATAGACTTGTATAGTCCTTGTCAGACACAAAGAAGGAGTGCTGGGAATTGGTCAAAATCATAATTGTTTTTCAACAAATCATCATGGGTCATTTTGAAATTTTCCCTGATATTTTTGTTAATGGACAAAAAAATAAAGAAAAAACCCTGTAGTATTGCACAAAAAGGCATTGGCAAATTTCACATCTTTAAAGGATATAGTAGGTTAGGAACATTAATTTCTTGGATTCTTGAAGATAAATGTTGGAATGAAGTGGTCATGAAACCAAAGTTCTATCACAAGTAAATATGTGATGAACCTTATGAGTTTACTATCAGCTATTTTCAGAGTTTGGGGTTAAAGTAAAACCCATGAGTAAGTGCAAGCAAAGTGCTGACAACAATGCTCCTATGATTATAGGATCCTGGTACAAACAAAGGGAGTTAACTCAGTGTACTGCTTCACAATAGACAACCAGGTAACTCAACCAACCTGCACTACCAATATACTGAGCTGACTATACAGATCCTACTCAGAAAAAGTTAAACAATGGTTCTATGCTACTGCAACACACAGCGTTACAATTGTGGGTGTTTCCTAACTTTGTCTGAACAGTATAGAAGTATTATATCCTTACACTCTCCTGGCTTGGCGTAGATTGCCGCTCTCAAAGCGAGACTCAAACAGGAGGTTTGGACAGCATCCCTCCGGAACAGGCTGTGCATGGTGTTCTCGTGGGCTGCGTTCAGAGTCGTACACAATCAGCACTCCGCGCCACCGCCCATGGAAGGGCGTGTCCTGGTTTTCTGCTGTTCTGGAGACCGCTGAAACACAAGGAAACTGCATAAGAAACTGTCCTTGAGAAACTAATATTCCTATTATATCCCACAAGAAGTATCACTGGCAAACAAAGATTAGTGTCAATAATAAAGTATATTCATGATCTGTGACTAAAAAGTGCATGAGTTTACAGTTGTGCATCTACAGGGCACATGTGAACTTGTTTCACACAAACTTTATGATTTATTTTGAATTTGTCATATACTCATCACACTATGTCGGTGCTCATATTCGATGGTGTTCATCAGAACGTATGCACCGAGATGTAGGAAGCTTCTGTCAATCAATAAACCAAATAGTCCCTAATTTTATCACCCCATGAGCCCATCTTTGCCAGTGTTAAGTGAAGTTCTTATCTATAAGTAAATGACAGGTAAATGCCTCAGTTATTAAAAATCCATGATACAGTGTAATTACAGATACTTTATCAAAACCTAATGTAATATAAAGAGGAGGTGCTACCAAACCTACCAGATAAGTCATACAAGGAAAAGCAGCTCTTAGAAAAAGTATTGAATATATGTCTTATTTCATGTCTTAAATCTATTTAATGAGTTAGTGAGTGAATTGGGATTGTTATTGTCACAATATATCATCTATGACTGTTATATATGAGTTCTACATGACTGAAGTTCTCTTAGTATTATTAGAGCTATATAACAGGGATCTGTAAACACCATGGAATAGAGAGTTCAAGGGTAATATTCCCCTGACCACTGATAATAATAATGGAATAGAGAGTTCAAGGGTAATATTTTCCTGACCACTGATAATAATAATGGAATAGAGAGTTCAAGGGTAATATTCCCTGACCACTGATAATAATAATGGAATAGAGAGTTCAAGGTTAATATTCCCCTGACCACTGATAATAATAATGGAATAGAGAGTTCAAGGGTAATATTTCCCTGACCACTGATAATAATAATGGAATAGAGAGTTCAAGGGTAATATTCCCTGACCACTGATAATAATAATGGAATAGAGAGTTCAAGGGTAATATTTCCCTGACCACTGATACTAATAACTGATAATAATTCAACCTGGACCACACAAAAATGTGACACAGCTCAGATGTCAAGTGAGTGAGTGACTTGGGTTGATAAAGGATCAGTTCTGACCTGCTTGAATCTTGCATCCAACTTTTATCACTGCAAAGTTATTTAAACTAAAATGTAGAGGAACCTATGAAACACCATTGATTCAGAAGTAAGCACCTACATGATGACAACTAAATAACACAAACATCTGGCTATAAAACATAATTCAAACATCTAAACATCTTACACAACCACAGTATCAAGAACTTGACCTTCAAATGAGAGTAGTCTCCCCTTCATCAAGGTAACAAGACCTTCTATGCGAATCAATTTTGTTTTCTCACAACTGTTTTGTGGTATTATAAATATAAGGCATGTAAAGTCATAGTGTCATCTAGTAACCATCATATTTTCATGCACTGTGAATTTGTTTTAAGGGGAGTAGGCTTGGATAAGTTGGCAGTCCCAGCAAATGTGAATCATGACACTCAAACAACCTGTTTACTTGTTCCAGTTATTGTGTAGCCATACTCATCAGTTTCAGTAATGTAGTAAACATCTAAGACCTGTACCACTTCAGGCTTTTGTCCCACATTAAGCAGACCTGTCATGTTCAAACTGGAATTTTGTTCAAAGTAGTGTTTATCCAATTCACTCTGTTTTGTTTATCACTATAGCAGTTAATTACCCCAACTACAGTGTTCCAGCTTCACATGGGGCACAAATAATGTCAGCACCATACTGTGGAACATAGTCTTATTGGAAACAGTCATACTGGGCTACAGTAACCAGTAATATCTTTCATTATCCAGTAAGTCACTTTGTGGAACAAAAACGGTATTAATCAAAGAGGAACTTGTATTACATTCTCTACATATCAAAAGAATAAAGATTACAAATCATTAAATCATACAATTCATTTCAATACTTCAAGAAAGAAATATATGAACTGGACTTGGATAACATTCTGACTCTGAAAGGAAATAAGTGTCAGTATTGCTCGGGGCAACCATCCAATCAGAAAACAGTGGCGTTCTGTAAGTGGTGAGGATAGGGTTTCAAGTGGTCATAGTTTGAAGGCAGAAACACATTTATATCACTTGACAGTCACTTGAGCACAGAGTTGTCTCCCTTCGTGCCACTCTTCAGGACTGGTGACAGTGACAGATGGGAAAGTACTCGAAGAAAATACCCCCTACTTTCTCTGTGTTTTTCAAGATGACAAACTCATGTTGAGGTCATAGCAACCATTGTGCACTGTCACAACCTTGTCTGTGAGTGAGTGAGTGAGTGAGTGATAGGTATTCAGTGTTGTAGTCAGCCATGTATGTGCAATATCCCTGTATTTCTGAAATATGTGCCAGAGTATAATTTGTTCCTTTCATTCTGGAGTAAAACTTTAAAGAAACATTGCCAGTGGCCAGTTTGAATTGTGGAGAATTCATCCATTGTGCCTGGGTGAAATGTCACACTAAAACATTGTTTACTTATTTGTTTTCAAACTCACCAAATTCCAGTTAAGGCTCAACATACAAAAACTTCAGCATATTTTCATGGCTGATCATATTTGCAGTCTAGGCTTAATGCTACATTCAGCTGTAGGCCAGCTCTATGAAAGCAGTACGTAAATAATTGAGTTTGGACCAGACAATCCAATATTTGATGTCATGAACATCAATCCATGCAGTTGGGATACCATGACATTCATCTATCAAATCAGACCACCCAATCCTTTTATGAGTCCAGCCTGTTTGGCATAACACCCTAGATGTTGAGGGGTGTTTTTCTGATGCATATACTTATGAATCTGAAAAGTGAACACTATGGCTATAATATTACACAGAGATGTCAAATATCTACCAGTAATTTCCTTTAGATGGTGTAAATTCAAGTACAAATACTCAGGTGGTTTGAAAAAACAACAACACTGCCATGTGCTGTGTGAAACTTTGCTATGCATTAAAAAGCAGTAAATGTCTTCACCTTCTAGTGTACACCCATTAAAGTACTGTGCAACGATATATTTATTTACATCTTTAGGGAAACTGAAATTAAACAAATTACTGTCTGATATATGAACAATACTATATGTCAATAATATAATAATGTTACACATTCAACATATAAATTGCTTGCCATAAATGAAAAAATTGTCATCAAGACACAGATGTTGCATATGCATGAAGAAAAGTATCATGTGACCCACCATGTGATTATGCAAACAATATCCAAATTTATGGCGAACTTACTTTGGTGGTCATGATAGCGTATATTCTAAATCATCCAAATGATGTATTTATCGATTATCAGTAAGAACATTTCAGAAAAATAATTGGTGACTTGATAAAAACAGATACCTGGGATCACTAAAAAATATGCTAGTTTTGAAATTCAATTCTCCAGCTAATTATCTGATATTTACATTTTGAAAGATACATTAATAAATACTGACTGTTCAAAGTTGTGAGATTTATGATAAATCTCATTATTTCCAATGGTCATTGTCATCAATTTTGCTTTGCCAAAAATGACAAGAAGCGGGGAATTCAGAAGTAAAAGAACACACAATTCTTTCACAGTTAATTAGTTAATCCATCATTACAGATTAAGTACTGTAATATGAAAGAATCAAGTGTTTTGTAACCTCTTGAATAGTAAATATTAAAACTGACATCGGTTTTGCTCATTTTGGTCTGACAATTTATTAGTTCTCATGTAGTATTTCTTTAATGAGTGAGTGAATAAGTGAGTGAGTTTGGTTTTACGCTGCTTTTAGCAATATTCCAGCAACATCACGGCGGGGGACACCAGAATTAGGCTTCACACATTGTACCCATGTGGGGAATCGAACCCGGGTCTTCGGTGACGAGCCAATACTTTACCCACTAGGCTACCCTACCGCCCCAAAATCTTTAATGAAATAGTACTGACTGAGTTTAGTTTTACGCCTCTTTTAGCATATTCCAGCAATATCACGGCAGGGGACACCCATGTGGGGAATCGAACCCGGGTCTTCGGCATGACAATGAAATAGTAATACAAATCCTGTCTAATAAACTATGAAACAACTATCCTGTCTATAATTTCAGAGGTAACAAATTGCCTCGTCACAACTTACCGTCATCATCATCCTGAGGCACTTCTTCCTCAGGCTCTTTCTCGGCCAGAGGTTCCTCCTCCAATGGGCAATCAGAGATGTGTTTAGGTGTAACCAGAATTTCACCATCATAGTATTGGGGCCAGTATGGTCCATAGGGCCAGAATTTAATATCAGGAGGCCTTGTCTTATACTTGTTGATGTACTCCTCCAACTGTTGTGAGTACGACAGATAACTGATCTTACTGTAGATGGGAGATGGTGAGTCGGTATCGCTGGACTCTGTTGCTGCAATCTGACCTTCCTCCATTCTCAATCCTGCACATGCCCTCCCAACATTTCACATCCATAAAACTTGACATCTGCTGGGTGTTATCTATTAGAACTGGCCACTTTGGCTAATATTTTAGTGTCAGTATCATAAATTATAGAATACCGCCATCAAGATACATCAGTCTTCACAAACATCATGTCGATCCAATTATGTCCATAAACATGACAACATGTAACAAACTAAAAAGTCCCATGAATTGATTGTTCTCCAAGAGCAAGGGTTTCTTCACATTTTGTCCATATTTGTTTTACATTCCTTTTGAAAAGTCAAACATGTTCACCATGTTTCCAAAGCCCTTCCCTACAGACCCAATGATCCAGTTCACGAACCCTCAACTCTCATAAATCTTCCTTGATTCTTGCAGATCCAGTGTGTATTATCACACTCCACATAAAGCCATAAGCAGTTACAATTACTGCTCTTTAAACAATTTCTGTCCTTTTGATCCAATGGTTTGTCTTGGAATATATGTCATCCTTCCACACGTGACAGTTTGGAGATTTTGCCTATTGC